AAAAACCACTTCCTTGCTCCCAAACTGAGCTCTGCGAAGTGTTAATCTGGATTCAGTGCAATGTATTTAAAAATTATTTTGGTATATATTGAATATACATACATTTCATGAAACAAGGTATTTTGTGGTTACATTTTAAATTGTATTAATTCAATTTAGTTTATTATTATGCTATGTTCTAATTAAAATTGTGTTAATCTGGATTTTGATGATAGCTGCCTTGGATGCCATTTTTGGCAGATAGGCTGGTTAGAAATTTAATAGGTGATAAAATATATGAACGAACAAATGAATGAGCAGAAATGTATTATGGCCCATCTACAGGACTGCTCTCCTGGAGGCCTCAGTAAGCAAGAACCACCGTATCTAGCAGGGTGCTCTGCAAACTTGTTGGCTTTACTCTCAGATGTCTTGACCTTGCCACTTGCCTTCTCCTTGACTGTACGGGGCTTTGTGGGCGTTTGGAGATTCCATGTCAAACCTTTATTCACTATCTTATACTCTCTCCAAGACTCTGTAAGGAGTTAGCACATGAACTGTCAGGCTTCAGACTGATTTACAAGACCATTCTAGAGCTTATGCAAGAAGCAAAAATTGTTACACTGCCTCATAAGAAAAAATAGTTTCTTTTCTTTGTATAAAATGGTCACATGCCATTTTAGATATTTAGTTATTGTATCTTTTCAAGACAAATGGAACATCAGTTGTATGAACTACTATTATAGTGTGCATATAGGATAAGTGCTTTTGTACAATGTAGACTTTTCTGACTGTGCATCCAGTAAAGGGTTTGAAGAGTGTGGTGTATTTTGTGGTCCTTCTAGTGTATACTGTTTAGAATTATTTTCAGACCATCTTTAAGGGTGCAACCTTCACTCTCTTATCACTCCTATACATTCTGGGTACACTATCCCAGAATGCATCAGACACGGGACATTGCTGGAATTACGCTGACATCTAAACAGGCTTTCATGAGATAATCTGCATTTCATCATGATCCCATGCTTTGTATCTTATAAGACAAAAGCAGAAGGCACACATGTTGGATGGAAGCGGGTGACCTCTAGATTAATCTATATTTCAACCAGAACATGACATGGGTAGATATCCCATTTCTTCATACACCACAGCAATCACAATAGCATTGGTGTCATTCCTAATAAAAGCCATCACAGCTTGAGCTGGCCATCAGGAGCTGCTTGGAATTGACAGAGGGGCACACAGGAGTCTTCCAACTGTAGTGTTCCCAGACTCTGGTGTGACTCCACTTATCCAGGATGACAAGGAAAGACTAGGGGCTTTTCCACATGCGGCATTTATCATGCATTTGCCAGCCACTTTTCACAGTTCCTTAGATAACATTGTAACACTCAATTTTTGTATCTTTCCTGAGTTTTCTTTCCTGATCGGATATAGGGTGTGATAGAAATGCTTTAAATAAATAAATAAATAAATTCTTAGTGCGGGGAAGATGCAGAATTTTAAAAGCCAAAGAAAGCACTATTTCCTCTTGTATATTTGTGCTATTTTGCTGTTCTGTTACACCACAATGCCACCTAGAGGTTAAATAGCACAAAAAAAAAGGAAAGGAAATGCTCCTCATGTAGCTCTTGGACCTCTGTTCTCTCAACCTGACAGAGAGTGGATGCAGTGGATTAATACCATGTATAGAAAAGCTAAAAAAAAAAAAAAAAGTGGTGGAGGGTGTGGGGAAACAACACCCCGCCCTGCCAATGGCCTTCTTCATGAGCCTGCAGTTGAGCTCAGTTTGTTTTAATGAGTCTTAATGCTGGGGATGAAAAACCAATTTGCTATCTTGACCCCTGTCTTAGGCTTGGCAAACTAACGAAGTTTGAGTGAGTTTATGTCAGATTCTGAGAATATCACTGATTTCTCATTTGTTTATTTTAAGCTCCATCTAGGAATGTGTTTGCTTCTTCCCCCACCCAAGGAACACGGCTTAGGGTTATACTCCAAGATTAGCAAAGAACAACAGATCATCTCAAATGCTTTCAGCATTTAGTCTCACCCCAGGATTTTTAGGCCAATCAATGAATGTCAGCAGCAACATTAGAATTCCTTCTAATGGGCAGGCTAAGGCCCTGCCTAATTCAGCCTTCTGCCTCTGAGAGCAGCCTGCCGGGTGCTTTAGGAAGCTTGGAGGAATTATGTAATGGCCATGTGCTATTTGTCCCCCGAAGCCTTCAAGAGCTCCACTGGCGCCTTCGTTCATTTGGCATGTCACGACTAACATTTGTTGACAGATCTATCAGATTTTTCAAGGCATTTCCCAATGCCCCTCTACTAGAGACTGAACAAGCAGCATCAAGAGCAGGAATGTTGTGGTGCCGCAAGAAGTGGCACCAACCTGTTTTCCATCTGCACACAGTTCCCAATTACTTCTATGGTTTATACATCAAGATAGTCCTGGGTTCTTCGAAGTCTTCCAATGGTTAGCACCAGAACTAAACAATTAAATCAGTGATTCTTCACAATCCTGTCATAAAACAAAATATGTTAAGTCCATATATTTTAAAATGAGTTATAGATCCATATATAACAATCATCTCTGTGGGAACTTCAGACTGAGTGCTCCCAGTGTCACCAATCTTTGGACTTGTGGCATGAAGTAGGAAAAGGATTTCTGTGTTCTATCCCCTGCCCTCCCTGATCCAAAGTAGGGCCATGTGTGCTTGACTCAGGAGTATAAGTGTAGCAGTAAGCCTCCAGGCAATTGTGCAATTCTGGGAAAGAAACAAAAAACAAAGCCAAAAGAACTCCTTTGCACAAATGTTCCTAGTTGGGTCACACAACCTCACCTTTAATTTTTTTGCTGAAACAAAGGGTAGAGAGTGGAGTGGGGACGGGGAATGAAATGGGAGGGGTCTGATCGATTGCCTTCCTAGGCCAGGGAGGAGTACAGCCATCTGGCCAGCCTGAAGCCATGGAAAGCAGGCTTCCGTCGTCATCACCTTACATGACATACAGCCACACTGCCATGAAGCACTGCAGCCTCCCAAAATCAGGCAGCCACACAACTAAGGACCATGGAGCACTGGAAATAATTAATGGATTCCTCTGGCTGAGAAAATATGGGAGAAGCTGTGGGGGATAACCCAGGTTGCCTGCAGGAGACTAAGAAATTCATGTGGGGAGTCCAAAATATTCCCACTGACAAGGCAAGCCAGTAGCACCTTAAACAATGAGCACTGGTACTCAAGATTGTTGGGTTCCACAACATAAACTAAAACCACTGGCATAAATTAAATCTGTTAATGTACAAGCTTGAGTACTCCTGAATTCTTAGTCTTCATGGTTTATACAACAGAATGACAAATTACTGCAGCTTCTGTGAAGTTTCTGCGTATATGAAATGCCTGAAAGATAATACCGCTCATTTTTACTTTGCACATCTATCTTTCAGTTGCAGTAATATAGAAAGCCAGCTATGTTTACCACTATTTCTTCTTTCCACTATCTAATGTTTTAGTTTCTTTCCCCCTCCTCCTCCCCCCCTCCTTGTTAAAAAGCTATCTTACAGTGCGCACACACAAACATCCCCTCCCCCCTACAAAGCCTCTTGTGACATTCCTGTCTGGCCTTTTTTGCCATATGCTGATGACTATTTCATCGAAACTTGAGTCAGATGGGCAGAGGTGATGCCAAACCAACATCTGGAAGATGGGACTGACTGGATGAGGGCCAATAGATTGCAGTGTAGCAAAGCTGTGTTTCTGGATGCCTCATCTGTCCAGGTGTTCAAGCAGTTCTGGAAAGAGTTCTACTCTCTCTATAGGATTAGGGGCAAAGGGTGCAGATGCTTAGAGATCCCTAGCCTCAGCCTCAGCCTCGACTCTGAGGAGCTGAGATCACGTTATACCAACTCAATTCCTTCTCTATACTTGCATTTTCCTGCAAAGACAAAACTATCTTTTGGAAAGTCTTTTCCTGCATCAATCCTTCAAGCTATACACTATCTATTTCCAGGTGTCCCTGCCATTGAATGCCAAGTGTGTAGAGACCAGAAAATGAGAAAGCGAACTTTTTCAGAGTGGTGGCCCTGCCTGTGGAGGATTGCCCAGTATCCATTCTGCTACAATTTCAGTGCCATGCTTCCAATAATTTAAAATATTTTAAGTTATCTTAAGCTACAATCTGAATAAGGTATGTTGGGAGTTCTGGCCTTTTTGACTGTTGGAACTTGTACAAGGTTGTGCCTTTCACTTTCTTAACTCTTTTAGGGCGGGAAGCTGGATGGTTTTATTGATGCATTGTTTCCAATAAACTGAGTTGAGATGGGCACCAACCAAGTGGCAGATGTAAACGTTAGCGGTTTTTAGTGTTACCACTAACAATGATGGCAGCAATAACAACATGCTGTTGTTGTACTGGGGTATCATAACATAGAAACTGACAAGTTAGACTATTGGTCTGTCTGGCACAGTATGATGAACACTGACCAGCAGCAGCCCTCCTGGCTTTCAGACATGAGCGTTCTTGCCCTACCTGGAGATGTCGGGATAGGACCTGTCACCTTCCACATGGAAAGCAGGTCCTTTGCTCCTGAGCTCCAGCCACTCTTCTGCAGCTCTCTTGCTTCAGAACACAGTACGGCTAGCTTGTTTCATGGCTTGGAAACTATAGTTTCCCAAAGTTTTTGACAAAAGATGGCACATTGGTTTAAATAATCAGAAGTAAAGTTGAGTAACCCTTCACAGAACTTGGAATAAATTATATTCACTTTCTATTTTATTGATTTGTTTGCTCCATACCTTAACGTACTGTTAACTTAAGATGCAAAACTTGGTGTGCTGTGCAAATCATGCCTAGATGTCAAAGTGAAATAACAACCCTAATGAGCAATGTTAGACAAAAAAAAAGCAGGACCCATTAGTTTAAAGACACATGGAAACAGCCAAAGATGACAAACATGCATAAAATTCAAAACTTGATGGAAAAGAGAACAGGCAACTGAACCACATAAATCAGTGTTTTGAATTTTATTTCTCTGTGGGTATAATTGTACCTTAGTTTCTTATAATGATTTATTGAGGTAAATATTCTGTATGGCTTAACAGCTACAGCTTCAAAGTATCAACCACACAGTCTCCCTTATTCATGAGGCAGCTGAGTGCTGGAGTTCTGAATTAGCTTCTGTATTCTGGGACTTGGCAAAGTTTGTTTTTTAAGGTTTTTATAAAGGATTCATATTGATGCAGCTATTCAAATGTGAAAAACACTGTGCTGTAATGGATGAAATAGAAAACTGTAATTCCTGAGGAAAAAAAAGCAAATAAATGGAAATAAACCATGCAGAATTGCCTTTAGCAAAAATAAAGGAATGCCCTCAAGTTTGTTTGTTTTTATCACTTTTGTGTGTACGTATGAGAACACACAGAATTCCTCATGTCTTGAAGAGGAGAGAGGAATTGAAATCTGAAAAAAGAAGAAAGATTAAAACAGGAGAGAGAACTGGAACAAAGTTTTAAAGTGTGACATTTGCTGTTGGTAGTGAATGCCAAACCACACTTTCTAGTGCTCTCTGACCAGAATAAACCAACCATTAACTAATAAAAGAGTCATAGTCCGTGAAAGCTATGATGGCATTTTAACAGTTCTTCATCTATTATTTAAGAAAGTCTAATTTGCAAAATACAGGTCCTTTTCTGTTTATAGTCATAGGGCAATGATGGCAGAAATTATATGTATTCCCATGGTGTGGAGAACCACGGAAGAACACACTGAATTTCCTTGCGGTCCATGCCAAGATATTCAGCAGGAAACCTTGCTGTTGCCAAGAAACACGTGTGCCTCAGATACTGAAGATCTAGATGTGCTGATGTTTCAACATTCCTGGAGAGAAATCTGACCTCTTGTTGCCTGCATGAGGCTCACTAGCGTGCCAGCCCCTCTCCCCATCTGTCCAGAGTGGCACTGTGCAATGCCAGTTACAGAGTATGGATGCCAAATTTATGCTTCACTCAAAACCCTGGGAAAATGTAGCAAATGAGTTGCTTGCAAGAAAGTGGCACCTCTTGCCAAATTGGGTTCATGCTTCATTAGAAAAGGGCGGCCAGTGGAAACTTCTTTGAGAAATGACCGCTCTGTATGGACCATCCAGCTTGACGTCCTTCTGCCCTGAAGTTGAAATCCCAAAGTTTGTGAAGTTTACAAGAAATATGCTACTTTGAATGGATTTTAGATCGGCTAGAGAGTACCACATTTTCATAACACTTCTTCCATATGCTTCACATTAGGTTATTATACAATGATGCCCCTGTACAATAGAAATACAATAGATCCATTCATAAGAGTACAGAGGAGTCCTGCTGAATCCTTCCAAAAGTCTTTTTAATCCATCATCCTGCTTCCCCTAAAGACTAACCAGATGCCTCTGAGAAGTCCACAGCTGGACTCGAAGGTTGTGGTTCCCGCTGTTGCCACAGGTCCTTGTTCACACATATGAACTCACACGTACCTGTGTAACAAGAAATGTGGAAATGGAAGGATCTTTTTCAGAACATACTTTAAGACTTATACCCTGCATTTCAACCATCTGGGAAATAGCTACTACTGAAATGAAGGAAATGAGCTCAAACAACTACTCTAGTTCAAAGTTACAGGCTGTATTTTTAACAAAGTGTGCATGTTACAAAAGAGATTATTGTGTTGGTATACAAACCCACTAACACATGGAGCAGTTTATCAGATCTAATAGGCCTAATTTAAAGCTAGAAAAAAACTAATCCTGGGGAAAGCAACATTTGCCCATTGGGAAGCTCTATGGAGAGGGAAGGGTAGGGCAAGTTATGCACCAAGGGAAAACTGAAGCATTGCTGAAAATGGTGGCCTGTGTGAGTGAATTGCATAGATTAAGAGGAAGAAAGGAAAAGAAATAAAGCATGAGTGCTTAGAATTAATAGGATTTTGCATAAAGGGAACTTCCTGGTTGGTCATAGATACTTGGAAAGATACCATGGCCCAGGCTACAGCACAGCAGCTTTTTATGACCAATCTCAGTGGGGTAATAGATTGGTTCTGTTGACAATGGGATCACCATGTTGTCCATAAATATTTTTCAGAAGTCTGATTGCCCTAAAGAGCATGTCTAATCTTTTTCATTTTCACCAGATACACACTGAATCAACTAATTTGTCAAAAGCATACTGACATCAAGAAACCTCTCTAGCAAAACAGTTTACTAAGGATGAGTTGTTTTACACTGAAATACTGGAAAAAATGATTTCAAAAATGCCCTTGATGTATAGGTGGAGCAAGAACCAGGCATGCATGTGAAGAGTAGCTGATAGAAATGGGAAAGGTATTTGGGGTCTGATGACCATTCCTTCTGTTACATAGATTTTGCACACTTTCATTGCCTTTCAAAGGTCTTGAAGCTCAAATACTTTGGCCCCCTAATGAGAGGGAAGGACTCACTGGAAAAGACCCTGATGCTGGGAACAACTGACAACAAAAGGAGAAGGGGACGGCAGAGGTTGAGGTGGCTGGGTGGGGTCACTGGAGAGGTGGCTGTGGGCTTGGGTGTACTCCGGGGGATGGTGGAGGAATGTTGTCCATGGGGCCACGAAGAGTCAGGCACAACTTTGTGAATGAACAACATAGCCTTTAGGAACACTATTCCATGTCCAGCTCAGTGTCAAAAGGCTGAACTTCAGATGTAACTGTTCAGCACATTAAAGTACCCTGACACTGTACATAGGATTGCCAATTGTTCTTTCCAAATCCATGGAGATTATGTAGGATAATGTGTTCACAGTTGCTGGACTAGAAATCACAGGAAGAAGATGCCCCCAACCTAGGTTGAATTTATACAGAGGTTAGGCCTGAATTTTGGGTCTGCTCAGCACTTTGGAACAAAAGCAGTTGTATGGGTAAGGCATGGTGAATGAAAGCCTCATACTTCAAAAGGTGGTCTATAAACTTTTTAATAAAACAAATACAATACATAAATCCAACATTATGTGGCAATGTTCTAGGTCCCCTTAAAAATGGACCTAGAGGACAAGCTACAGCTTGAAGGTACCTGGAATTGTGACCTGAATATACACACCAGCCTCAGTTCCAAAACCTCTGTCTTCAGACCGTGATCTCCAGCAAGGTGCCCACAGGCAACCATGTTCTCATGGGCACATCCCTTCGTGCCCACTTAGTCCCTGAGCAATCTGATTTTTATTTCATTTTCAACTCATGTGTTTGTGGGTGTGTTTAGCTGGAAGACTTTGGACAGAGGTGAACCTTGTTTGTCTCTTTTTCTTAAATGTTGTAAAGAGAAATCCTGCCTTCCAGCACCATCTTTATTCAGCTTTAAAAGAATAGTTTTGCATTTTGGAGCTCAGGCTTCACCTTTACCTTGTGTTAGGTTTTTGGGCTGGGTCCTTTTCTTTTAGTCTTGACAATTTGCCTTCTAGGAAAAAAAAAGAAAAGAAACACTGTTCTATTATGCCTAACTGGCAAAATTACAGTCCAGAGGGTAGTAAGATAGTGAAAACTTCAGTAAGAAAAGACTGAACAGTCAGATCAAATTAAAGGCCTCGCTCTGTTCAGCCAAATAGGTTTTGATAATGTCTGGAAGCGTGCCACCTGGTTTGGACTCAGCTGTTCCTCATGGCTGTACAAGAATACATCTGGTGGTTTGGTCTGATTCATCAATGAACTGTTTAAGAGTTTGTGGTGGCCTTCTCCAACATGGTACCCTTCAGAACATGTTTGAGAGGTGCCATAGCAGCAAAGACTGGTCTGTGGCATTCACTGCTGTATTTTATGGAGTGGTCATAGTTTAGAATGATATGGGTACATTTTATTTTACCATGAATCTTTTTTGACGAAGATGTCAGGCAGCACAGTTCTATGGCTCCAAGACAGCATCTAGATGGTTATAGGATTTTTTAATTTTTGGAGGTCCAGCTCTGTGCTTTACTGGGTTCAAGGACACTAGAGTAACCTTCATTTCTGTATTCCTCTCACTTTGCATAGGATGTTCATAATCCTTTAAGTTTGGAGAACTATAGGCATCCAGACTGGATTCTGCCCTAAAACATTTGATGATGGCAATGATTTCTTTAAAAACTGTTTTATTTTTAAATGTTATATTAGTGTTTCAAACTACCAGTTGTTAGTTCCTTGATTTTTTTAAAGCTATGAGAAAATATACATTCTTTAAATAAAATAATCTAAAATATGCTTGTGGATGCCTTATTTATGACACAGAGCCAAGAATTTAGGTGGAAAGCTGACACAATGCTTGAACAGTTAATATAATGTATTGAGATAACCAGAAAATCATTTAAAAGTCATTTTACCAAATTATGGACTGTCTTTTTATCTCATTTCAGCTTATTTTATAATGAATGGTACTATTATAAATATAATTTGTATATTCTGAAAACAATTTTGAGACTTACAGAAACACAATGGGTTGCTCTAGAGTTCCCATGGGTGTAACCCTGCTTATGGATGCTCCTGCAGAAAGATGGGACAAATGTGATAATCACTATTCCTCCTGCCCTCTGCAGATGGTCTGGAAAGTGCAGGGACCCTCTGTAACAGTGTGGAAGGCAGGATGGGGCTGCAGGGGAAAAGAGAAATGAGTGAAAATGGTCTCTCCCCTTCTTCCAGTAGGAATCTCTGCTTGATTTTGGTCTTTTCCAGGAATGGAAGGAGATCTATTTGCAGAAGGGACACACTGGTCCACATGTAGCATTAATCCAAAATATCAATTAAATATCAGTTGTCATTGAACTGTGGGTTGTTGAATCTTGGGTTGCCATTATGGGCAAACACTACAGGTTGTTAACCATGAATGATCCAGAAGGAGAACTCATAGCTTATTGATGGATTCTGAACTCTGGAATGTTCATGGTTAACCATGCAGAGTAAACCATAGTGCAGTAGTTACACATAACAGCAAGCCATGATTCAACAACAGCGCATACTTAACTCATAGTGTCAATATGTGCCAACCTGAGTTCAGATGTCAAGTAGTAACCCCTGATCAGCCTAACTGGGTTTTGAATATTCAAAATGGATTTAAGTAAGTACTAATAAATTTAACTGAGTGTAGAACAGTTAACAATTGCTGACTTTTGAAACTTTTTGATCTTGATATTATATGTAATATTTGTGTAAGATACCACTGTATCTTTTTCTATATTCTACTTTTTAATTAAAATAATAAAAAAGAATATTCAAAATGGCCATAAAATACACCCAGCACATGCCATGGTAAACCCTGGGTTAATTTACCTATGACTTGTCCATACTGTGTACAAATTAGCATTCCGAATCTAACTCATCACAATGAATAAATAACACCCAAGATAGGCTAGTTCACAAATGCATACACATTACTCAATTCTTTGAGCTCACTCGCACATGCATGCATGTCACTTGTTTTCACTGCACTTACTGGGCATTTCTTGATTGAGAGCCTGTATCAACTAATTCTTCTGAAAAAACCATGTAGGAAATGATATGAAATTTCTGTTGGCCCAGTTCATCCATCCAAGCCATTGGGTAATGCTGAGTCATTAATTAATCAAAAGGCAGCTGTGTACAAGTTTGTATGAATGTTCCTCTTGCAATGTTTGGTATGCATTAGTTCATTCACACCTGCATAAAGCAATGGCCAGATTTAAATGTATGTCATTCTTCTCCAATCTAGAGTCTTCAATGATCTTTTAGATCTCAGCTCCCATCAGCCCTGGGCAGCAGGGTCTATGGCTAGAAATGTTGTCAGTTATAGTGTAAAACACCTGAAGGGTAGTGTGTTGGGGAAAGGTGGTGATATAATTAATAATATAATATGAAGAGGAAACCTGAGATGTCCCCACCCCTTTCATCAAGGCTGCAAGCTTAACTTTTCAAGGATACATCCATTCCTGACCTTTTTATTACAACTTTCTCCAATGTGAACTAAAACAACTACCCTTTCTTCTTTGCTCTGTAATAAAAAGCTCTTTTGCTAGCAAGGAAATGGAGAGATGTGAAACTAGCATGCAAGAAAGTAGTACTCAAGAAGAAATCAAGACATATGAAAATTGATTTGAGCACTGATGTGTTCAAAACCAGTTAGAAAAAAGGGTAACATTTTAAAGAAGGATTTCTATAATGCCTTCAAAAATATAAAAGCCATTATAGAGTAGGAATATTTTTATCCTTTATTTTTATCGTTCCTGGGCCTTGAAAGTGCTTTTACATGTTAACAGCTAAGGCAGTTTTCTTCCAATAGCGGCTATTTAGGATGAACTACTCTTTTATCTAATATAAAAAAAGAAATAACAAGGTAGAATGTGTCATTTTCATTTACTCCAGAGTAGGTTCCATTATGGTGAAGAGTAATAATAATTTATTTTTATCCTTCCTTTCTATTAATGTACTCAGCATAGTTCAGAAGTGATAATCACAGCAGTTCATATAAAACAGATACTAACAGGCAGAGTGAGCCTATGTCCCCTAAGAAGTGTCTAGGGGAACATAGGACTTTTTGAATTCCCAGATCCAAGGACGAAAAAAAGTTCCAAACTGGGGTCTGAGGATCTGTGCTCAGATCCTCCTCCTTTTCACAGCCAGTGCAGAAAAAGCCATGCTGGCTGCTTCCCTGAGGACACAAAAGCAATCCTGGAGAAGGGGTTTAGGGAAAGTTTTGGGCAGTGGGGACGGGACAAGACCAATGTCACCATGCTATGAGGTAACCTGGCAGTGCCTCAGCCCCCTTTCCTCCCTTTCCAGAGAGCCACACTTAGAAATGGGCTGTCTAGCTACTTTGCAGAGTGGAAGGAGGTGACCTTGCCTTCCATTTGCATCCTGTTAATTTAATGGAAATATTTAAGGAAATATTTTGGCCAACACTATTTTTGATTAATATCAAAGAAAATCTGAAAACAGCTTTCAATCAATCTCTTTACTGAAGCTACAGATTGCCAGACATTCAGAGCACCGAATAAGCTACCACAACCACAACCACTGTGCACTTGCAACTTCCAGTAACAGAACAGTTTCTAATCAAACAAATCACAGAAAAATTTGGAAATTTTGAATTCCAGATTAGGTACATAAAATTGCAGGCAAACGGCAGTCCTGACTCCACTTTAGGGCAGCTAGTTCACAAGTGGACTTACGTAGATCGAAGTCGCAGGCAAGATAATCCCTTTGCAGTCGGTGACTGGAAGGGCCTGCATACAGCTGCTGTGCTGGTCACAGTTGGATCTGAGAGATTATGTGCCTTAGAGATGATCGCGTACTCTGTGGGATGGGCTCTCACGGGATGGAGGGGCACTGTGCTTAAAGTGTGGCATTGACAGGATTCTGATGCAAGAATGGCCCCAGGTGCCATAAGTGACAATGGCTCTGATGGTGGGAACCACATACATGTACACACTCACACTTCTTTCCTCACTGGAAGGGGGTGGGGTGCCTGCCCTGTGGCAGAGAGGAAAGAGAGTTCTCCTTGAGCATATCTGGGTGCGGAATGGAGAGCCTTCTGTCTCCAGACACCTAGATACAAATAGCTGTGTGCTTGTTGCTCACTATTTGTATCTAGATAGCTGGAGGAAAGAAGGCTGTCAACCAGGAATCCTCAAGAAATTGGTGGTGGGAACAAGGACTGTATATGAAACTGGCAGGAGAAAGATGCAGGGGGTCAGAGCAGCATGGGGGTCATCTATAAGGCCTCAGGGAGCACAGGTTTTGAATCCCAGTTCTAAGGAAAAAATATGGAGGTACCAATGTTTTGGAGCAAATAGCAGTTTCCTAGATCAGGAGCAGAATGCAGGATGCAAAGGGTTGAAGGATACAAAGAAATGCTGTGAAATTGTAAGTTGGAACTACAGCATAGCTCCCTTGCAATATTCACACACCCTGTTCATTTAAACTACACTACAGAAAATTTAAGGTACACTACAGGAGTGCTCTAGTTTGAAAATAAATCTAATGCAAAAGCATCTATACACTATTACATTTTGAATTAAAATGTTCTTTTACTCCAATTTACAAAATTGATTTGATTGCTTAGTAATAACTACAAAATTCTTTGAGAAGAGTGAGGTCTACTGATGGCATCCCATTACAGTCCCTAAGCAGCGGGCATAGTTGGGAGACACTGCTCTTGGTGTGCAGATACATCTAGTATTTGGTTTTTCTTTCCCAGAGTTCCAGTGGTGCACAAGATCTAGCAAAGAGCATCCCCTTACTTCACTGTTCACAGATGGGAATGGAGGAAGAAGCACAAACCATTTGATGATCCTGTTTCTTCTCCACAGCCTGCTTTGAGAAACTGAAGGAGAGCCTGCATGGCATATTCCTTCTTTCCTTGTTGAAAGGGGAGAACAGATACTTCTTCTGAGATCAAAATGAACTTGATGGTCATAGCAATTCTTCAGATAAGCAGCTACACTTGTCCAGCGTCTCATTGTCAAACTGTGTCCAAAGCAGGCAGAGATCACCAGAGATCAAGGGTGGATCCCTAATGGCCCTCTAGATTTTTGGCTCAGATAACTTTGACGGTTATCTGTCGTCATTGGCTAAGCTGGCTTGGCAATTGGCAACTGAAGGCCGAAACTTCTGGAGGGCCATCAAGTCGCCCATCCCTGCAATAAACAATAACATTGTGCAAATACCTGAGTAAAGTTGCAGTCTGGTATGCACTTCCCAGAAAGTTAAGTCTAGAACTATGGTGTCTCCATGCCTCTCCTCAGTGCATCACAGACTTCCATATTTCCCTGTCGTCTTTAAAAATAACGCTACAGGATTATTTATCAAATTACTTACCATTCAGCTTCATTTAGAAGAGTATCTTGCAGAATCTAAACATGCCATTTGGTGCATTTCTGTTATGAGAGCAGTGTCACACTAAACTATTGTCACCAGATTGGTTCTGAAGTGCAGTTATTACGATGAACGTGCTTTGTTAAATTTTCACCCCGCATTTCTTGTAAAGAGCTCAGGGAAGCGGCCCTAACCCTTTCCCAATTTTATCTTCAAAACAACCTTGTGAGGTAAATTGGTATGGAGGAGACGGTGCGTGGCCCAAGCTCACCGAGTGCATTTCAGAATTTGACCTCCTTGCATCCTGCTCTTAATGCTTTGTCATTCACAATTTCATACACAATCTGACCTAATACTACAAAATGTGCTTTCCATTAACAAAATAACCCTGTCGCTAACTGAGCGAGCAGAGAATACCAAGTGACTAGCGAGCGCTGCCAGCGACTTCCACCCACAACGAAGTTTCTGAGCAGGCGGTAGGATAGGGGAAGGCTGGAAGCGCCCACTTTACTATCGGAGGGGGAAATCCGACCGAGCAGACGAGTCAGCGACCAACCACCTCTCTTTTTTCCTTTCTCCGCCTATTCCTCATACAGCCAATCACAAGTGGGGAAAAGCCGCGAGAGAAGGAAGAAAAGGCAAACTCTGGTGCCGTGCCGCAGGAGTTTGTGGGAGTTGAAGTTTTACTTTTTCCGAGAGTTTCCATAAATGGTACTTTGAGGTCACTGGGAGAAGAACTACCACTCCCAGGAGCTACCGCGCGCACTCCCTCTCGCGCGGTTGCGCCATATGAAGCCTCGCTGTGGGAACAGCTGGAGGAAGAGGAGGAGGAGGAGGTTGTCGCTGCTGCCGCAGCAGCCTCGAGCAGGGCCAGGAAGTGGCCCTTGGGCGGGCTGAGATCCGGACGGCGGCAAGATGAGCGCCACCCGGGAGTCGCCACCCGAGCACGGCCACGGCGTGAAGCGACCGGCCTCCCCCGATGTGAATAAGGGCTGGGAAAGGCTGGGCGCTGCCTTGGGGGGAAGAGGGAGCTGCTCTGCGAACTGAGCGCGGCCACGAACGGGGGAGGGCGCGGAGGGGTCGTGGAAGGCCGGGCGGGCGGGCAGGCAGTCGGGGAGGTAAATGGTCCTTTCCTCTCTGTTCCGCGTCTCATTTAAGTGGGCTTTACGCGTGCCTCTTCCCCACCGATGTCTTTAGCTGCCAGAGAATAATTGCAATAATTGTTCGTGGTGGCTTGGGGTGGATGGTCCAGGCAGGCGCTACGCGGGAAAGGTGGCCCGGTCCTCCTTACGCCACTTGGTAGCGGGATGAGATTGATTACATTCCTCATCCAAGCCATCCAGGTGGTTCACGTGGTCACGTCCCTGTTTTACCCGCACAACAACAAGCTTGTGAGGAGGTTAAAGGTAGGCTGAGCGTCCGTGACTGGCCCGGAGTCACCCAGAGAGCTTCATTAGTCCCAGAGCTGCCGGGCCGCCAGTGCAGCACTCTAACCACCGCACCGACTCCCAGATCCGAGACTTCTGACATATCCCCGTGAAACGGGGGGCTCTCGTAGCTGTAACCCCAGTTCTCATTCCAAAGTTTGCTTACTGGAGGCCCTCCCACCTTTTCCATATTTTTTATTGATTACTGCACACTGCACTTGTTTCTGAAGTAGGCCCTAACAGGTCCTTTTAAAAGCCACAAGATGTACAGAAATTTGGGTTCACTATGTTACATACCACAGGCAAGCTACAATGCATTTAGCAACTTCATCTCCAGAGGTGGTTTTGGAGGAGATGGAAAAGAGCCAGTATATATTTGGGTATGTGTTTTACGTGCATGTGCACTAAAGAGGCCACCCCCCCCCCCCGCTGCCCTTTCCCCATTCCCAGTTCTAGAGCAATATCTACTGCTCTAGGGGAAGTGAGTTGAAGTATGAGAGTGATATTCAGTGATTTGGGGAAACAATGCTGTTAGTGTACGTACATGGCCTAGCAGTGTTTTAAAAAGGATTCGCAACGTCTTATTTGTAAGCAATATAAAAGTGACCTGTTGGCAAACTATCATTTACTAGTCACTGTTACAGGCATTGCTTCATTACCATATCCATGCTGCTATTCTTGTGTGTGTATTCTTGTGCGACCATGAATTAACTATGAAAACATCTTGGATTTGCCTGATGGTGCTAGTATGGAAAAAAACCCACACTGCTGAATGCTATATAATGTAAAATCATGAAAATAGACAGTTTTCTGGTGCCTAACCATGTGCATGAGCTAAAAGTAAGGACAGCCAATTTAAAATCATCTAGTTTACACAAAGTTGTGTGGAAGTGATGGAGTAGGGAAAAAAGCTTGAGTTTAAAGCAAATGGGATATTAATGGTTGGAGTACAATTCTGTGAATATTTAAAAACAGCAAAAGACCTAAAATTCCCAACATGCCCCAGCCCGTCATAGTGCATGCTGGAACCTGTAGGACTTTTTTGTCTGAACATGTGTGGAATTGTACCCTTAATAGATTGAATGAAATTTCAAACAAGCTAGAGAGGCAAGATTGTCAAAGGAAGAAATTGGTTATAAACCAACAGTAGCAAAGTTGCAAATAGGTCTGTTTCATTTAATTGAGGCAATGCTTTTAAAGTGTGATCAGTGCATTAAACCAGTAAGCTGCACTGATGACTCTTTTACACTTTATATAACTGCATGTATTTTCAAATGATGCAGGCTACTTAAGCAGGCTTCTTAACTAGTGTATAACCCTTAATTTGAATATTCTGAATTAAAATCCCTGGTGTTTAATTCCCTAAATGGAATTCTTGGAAAGTATCAAGGAAAACCTGATGCATCTATGTGGAGCTTATTACAAAGGTTGTATCCTTTTAATAAAAGTAGTGTGTTGGGTCACAGTGTTCAAAATGTGTGATAATTTAATATCAAATGCATTCATGCTACAGATGGAGATTTTCTTAAGGGTCGTCTTCTCTGTTGTAGCTTGGATCTAGCAGCTGGGAAGCAGCAGACTTGGGTAATGAAGAAAGAAAACAAAAGTTCTTGAGGCTAATGGGTGCTGGAAAGGTGAGAATTTGTCAGTCATCCGAGTGGTTAGAGGCTCAATCCTGTGCATGTTTAGAGAGAAGAAATGCCTGCTGGGGAATGCTTGGAGTTGTGGGACTTGTTTCTAAGTATAGTAGGATTACACCCTAGATAAATATACAAAAGTGAGTTACACTTAAAAGAATAAGAAGAAAAAAACCCAAAAACTGTTTTACTGATCATTCATAGCTTTAGTTTCTGATAAGAATCCAAGGTGTGGTGTTTCATTCAGTATAAAATGCTTGTTAAGGCCAAGAGGATAAACAGATTTCATATATGACATACGTAAAATGACACAAGATATTTATAACCAGTCTTTCCTTTAAAGAGGACTTATTCGTTTATGACCTTTCAATTTTTAGGCTGCAGTGCCTATCTTTTCCATACCACTGATTGTGTGCTGCAGTTCAACATCATATGAAGGGCCACAAGTTGCTCATCCTGATCAGTAGAGGAGTTTGAGATCTTGCTGTTTGTGAGGGCCTAGAAATTATGGTGTTCAGATGCATAAGTAGCTCTTTTGAAAATATGAACAAACTGCCGACACCTTCAAAACTGACTAATTATTCTGGTTTTATTGCAATATCTATATAGTCTGATTATTTATTTATTAAATTTATTTTAAAAGTTGCCCATTAGCAACTTGCTCTCTGGATGGCCAAAGCAGGGTCTGACTTTCAAAATCTTACGCTATAATCTATTATTTAGGCGGTGGCCCTAAGGGGCCAGGGACTTTTTGGAATCCAAGATCCAAAGCTGGAGTTGGGAAATGGGAACATCATTCCCCCATCTGCTTGCAGCTGGCTCAGAAAAAGCTGCCCTGTAAAGTCACAAATGCAACCTTGCAGAGGAGTAAAAGGGGCATTCTGGGAGAAGGCGAGACTGGGGAGGCCAGGTTCTAAAATATCCTGAAGCCTCTCGAGCCTTCCTCCCGCTGTTCCTCGATATTCCAGTAGAGTGGTAAAAATGGGTGTGCAGCAGAATCGCAGAGCTGGAGGAGTGAGGAATTATGCTTGCTTCTGCTGCTTCTCTGAAGCTGCATGGCAGGTTTGGGGCTTGGACCTCCCCGCAGGACTGTTCTTGTCACCTTTCAAATGTTCTATTAAAGAAATTCCTAGAGTTGCCCATCTGGTATTTGGTTTTACATTATTTGTCTCATTATGTGTGGCCACAGAGTCTTGCAAAAGTGTATCTTCCTTCAAGTCTAATACTAAACATTTTTCACTGTTCTGTGTAGGTAAATGCACATAATGGTATTTCTCGGTCATGGACTGCCAAACCATATAAACTGAAGGGTTTCCCTCATCTGGAGGTCCTGCATGCATGTCAGCTGAGGCAAACTCATGTTTTCATAGTAGTGGTATTTAAGCAGACCAGTTGGCTTCTAATGAATAAATAATATGTGAAATTTATCTGATGAGGATAGAAAAAATAAAATTGGAGACAGTATTAGCATAAATTAATCCTCTGCTGCATGGTAAGAAATCCTAATGCAGCAGAGATTTATTTATTTATTTTTCAATTTATATCCTGCCTTTTTCCTACAAAGGGCTCAAGACAGCTTACATCATTCTCCTCCTCCATCTTAACCCCACAACAACAACTCTGTGAGGTAGGTTGGGCTGAGAGTCTGTGACTGGCCCAAAGTCACCCAGTTGGCTCCATGGCTGAGCGGTATTTATTTATTTATTTATTTATTTTAAAGCATTTCTATGCCGCCCCCATCGCAACAAAGCCTCGGGGCGGCTCACAAAGAATACATAAAAACTTAAATAATAATAATAATAATAGTATAACAATTTAAAAGAAAAAAAGGCAGTTACCTTAGTTCCTTTCTGCATGTGTCAGTGTTATGCCAAAAACCTGAAATGGTAGCAAAATGTATTTTCTACAAGAGGAAGGAAGGATTGAAATTAAAATGAAGAAGAACCTTACATTCAGTGAAAGTGTGGCAAGCTTCTGATATCACATAAAACTGGGCCTGAGTTACATATTTGTAGTAGTGAGGGAAGCAGTTGTGAAGGTAGGAAGCTGCTTTGTCTTTGCTCGTGTGTGTGTTTTCCAGAGTGACAAGTCTCTGGTTCAACATAGTGATGTTGGTTCAAGAATATTGTTAGTGAACAAACCTAAAGCTTGCTTCTGTGATACATTAAGATCATGTAGGGTAGTATTAGGTGCTTGTGGCTCCTCCTAAACATTGCCTGAAACTTATATGCATTATAAATTTATACCTTTATAAATTATGCCTTGAAGTGGGCAATAGCCCAAGAAAGATTATGCCACGATGAATTTGTTCATCGCTTAGGTGATCCTGAACTCTTGGTTTTGCTGCAGCTGACTTAAGAGAGATACCATGTTGCAAAAACTTCTGTTTTCTTTCAGAAAGAACATACTGGCCGCCTTGTCATTGGAGACCACAAATCAACTTCTCATTTTAGAACAGGTCAGTTGAATATAATTATTGACCTGGAAAATAATTACCTACTGTATTCATCAAGTATACTGGATTTCTAAGGAGATCCACCTTTGTCACTGAATAATGACTTTTTCATGGCCAGTTTCTCATGGCAGTCTTCATAAAGCACCGGTTTAATCTGAGGTTTCTCCTACTCATAGGCTTCTCCCTGGCCACCAAACCACACAGGCTGCGTGGCGTGTTGAACAGAACCGCTATTTAGGTGCCAAGGTGGCCCAAGGCATGCATAGCTTGACATGTTATGATCCTACTAATGAGTGTCTTACTCTTTTGCTTTTGGGTAAATCCTACCATATTGCCATCAAACCGGCTTCATTGTGAGATGGACTTGTGTTCTTATATGGTTGACTTGGCATCCTAATACAGGGAGCCAGTGTTTTCTCTAGGACAGCTTTTGCAAGACTTTTCAAAACATCCTGTTCCATGGCTTAATTATGTACCCATAATTAAGTACTAGCAAATGAAGATGATTCACATGAAGTCTCCAAAAGGCCTTATGGTTCTACTTTTGAGTTGTAATTAGGTGTTTATTCATTTGCTTGTTAATATGTATGAACTTATAGGGGAAGAAGATAAGAAAATGAACGATGAGCTAGAGACTCAGTTTCAGCAAAGCATGGATAGCACCATGTCAGGAAGGAACCGACGACATTGTGGACTTGGTTTCAGTGAGGTAAGATTGTCTAAATTGAGATAGTGACATTGGAAATTGTATTTCTCAAGCAGTTTAAACCAATTATAAGATAGCAGGACAGTTTTGGCCGCTGTTTGAAGTATACCAAGCTGTTGCATAGCATGCAAGTCCATTGCTCCTACCACTGCCTACCTAATTCATGCCACTGTATTTCTGCAGCTGCTTGGACTGCAGCCTCAAAAGTCCTTCCCCTAGAATAATGACTGGGCATACAGTAGGCTAAACCCCCTCATGTGAGGCAGTTCTAGTTTAGAATTAAACTACATAGACTCCATTGCTTCTACCATGCATTTCTGTATGGCATAAAACAGGAGGCCAGTGCACCAAATCATACCCACACAATTTTCTTTAGCCTTCGGGCTGTGCCAAGTTTGAATCTTGGTGTGGTAAAAAACTGTCCATAAATATGACTGGTAGATAAAGGATAATTGTTTTCAAAGGCAGAGACATCTTGTTCTCTATTGTGCTATCGTTCTTTGGGTTTTGTTTGTATTGGGCCAGCCTGAATGTTGTGCATCTTTGTGTAGCTGTGAAGCTCCTAATGTTGGGTGAGACTGTCTTCTGCATAGAACCTGATTGCCTAATTAAACCGTTAGGCATGCTCTTTCTTCCTTAGCTGATAGCTGCCAGTAATAGAAAGTCTTGAAACTATATTTCTTAATAGCTTCGAGTAGTTTTACGGATGCTTCATATTATTTATGCACTTGCCTGGTATTACAGATGGTGTGTGTTGGAAGTATGATATTGTTTAAGATTGCATAATTAACCAATTAACTATTATTAATAGCTATTTTCCAACCTCTATACAAATCACTCAATTAATAACCATGTTTTACTTTCCAGTTGTTTTCTATAATTAGTCTCACAGCTGTTAAAAATTTGTTATTCTTTAATATTCCATCTGCATTGTTCTTTGTCAAATATTGCCAGTAAAGGGATTCCAGGACTTCCTTCAGTATTTAAACTCAATATTTTACTACTTTCTTTAAAAAAACCTCTTTCCAAAATTTCATTATATATTCATATTCCTGCCACACATGGAAATATGTATCCACTGCTCGACCACAACTCCAGTGTAAATTAGAATATTTGCTATCCATATGATTCACTTCTACTACCATTTCCATACTAGTTTATAAAATTTGTCCTTTAATTCTTACTGTCATACATTTTAATAATCTCTTATCCCACATATTTTCCCAATCTTCATTACTAATATTGCTTCTTAAATCCATTTCTCATGTTGCTTTAAGAGGGTCATATTGATCTTATGAATTATACTTACTATCCCTTTCATCTGCATATTGTCTTGTTTTTCGTTTTCCATTATAATCAAATTTAGTACGATATCTGCGTCTACCTGTTTTCTTTAACCATTCTTTAGTCCAACTTCCAGACTGGGTTACATTAAACCAAGTTATTTTTCCCCTTCAAGTGCTGCTTTTATTCATATTATTCAATTTTTCTAACCAGTCTTTTAACTTAATGATTTGTTTGTTCTTCAATATTTTCCCCAAACTTTTTCTCAAGTTTACTGGAAATCTTTCTAATTTTATAGTTGGATATAACAGCAAGATTGATGGCATAAGCATTTCCATGTACTTACTCAATTTTTTATCATATTCTTAAGGGAATAATTTTCTATCTCTTTTATAATATTTTTATTATCATGTTTAAAAAGCATTCAGCAAGAATCCTTCTATTTGATAAAATTCTAATTTTAGCCATTTTATGTTGTCTGGTTCTAATATAATGGCAGGTATACTCCTCACTTCATTTGCTACATACTATAACTTTACATTAGGAATACCTAATCCCCCTATTATTTGCAATTTATACCATCTTTTAAAATTTGTCCTTGCTTTTTTATTTATGACTTATTAATCATATCTTGCAATTCTTTCAACTCTTTATGTTATTTTAATTAGCCATATCATAAACAAAAAATAGCTTAGGTAAAATTTCAAATATTGCTGTTCTACCAAATTATGATAATCCAATCTTCCTAAATTCATTTTCTCTTTCATTTCATGTTTCAACTTATCAAATTATTCTTTTTTAGGCATTCTAAATTTGTTGTAATATTTATACCTAAATACTTAATAGTTCCCAAAACTTTCCTTCATTGCTGTTCTACCTTGTTTTAAAGCAGAAGTGACATGGAATAGACTTCTGTTGTTTAATGTTGCCCTCATCGGTTGGTTTCGGGGGGTTTAGGGCATGCCTGGAACCTCCCTGGGTAAAATACCGCTCTGTAGTATATTTTGAGATATTTGCTATATGATACATTCTGCATTTGAGGCGGAATGTATTAAGAGAAATTTACGTGAGTTTTGTATACTTCGGGCACAATCCTATGTGTATTTACTCAGAAAAATGTCCACGGTTCCTACTCTTGCTAGGGAACACTGTGAGTTATGGACCTTCTTCCTTCTAAACATGGGTGGGAAGGATTACACCCTTATTGTATTTGACTGTTTGACTGATAGTAGAACAAAAGAACAGTTCAGAAAAAGATCTTTTAAAGAATGGAAGTGATCCCTTCTCTCTGTCCACTACATTTCAATTTGAATTTTTATTTTAGTTGGAGGAGGATCAAGAAGAGCAGGAAGATACAAGAGACTCCCTGGAGCCAGAAAGCTCAAAGGACTCCGAAAGCGACGGTGGTGCTGAGCAGGAAGAGCTGCCGCCTGCTGAAAAGCACAGTAGTGCTGAAGATGCTCAGCCCAAGAAAGATGTGAAGAGCAACTATAAAATGATGTTTGTTAAATCGAGTGGTACATAACATTTCCTCCTTTAAGCAAAGTAAGCCTTATGGTTACAGTGCAAAGTATTGGACTGCTTACAGCACAGACCTTTCTATTAGGGTTTTAGAGGAAGAATAGTGTTTGCATTCCCAATACCATGAAGCTATTTTTATTAGCATGACTGTATCCATTTCGTTTTGTAAAGTATGAAAATAAAATTGGACAAAGAGTGAACTTAGTTCTCAACCCACTTCTACATTTTTCCTCTGTTTCGTTCCTTTTCCATGATGGCTGTTGAATTTTTCTTAAGCTTGTTAAATGATATATTGAAGATACTTGATGTTTTTATGTGTGGTTTTTTTAAAGCAGCATTCTCTTTGGGCTTTGAATGATGTAATTATTAAAAAGTGAGAATTCGAGCTCCTTTGTCTTGCTCATGTACGCATAGGGACAGCACTTTGGGATATGCCCTGCATTACTTTCTGTGCAATGCATCTCCATTAAAGGTTGGTGGGGGGAATCATCTTCAGACTAGGGTCCAGGTAAGGAATTGCCAGTGAAACTGTTCATGAGGGTTGTCTGTCCATTCTGTAAAAAAGTTTGGATGTTTCATTGGCAGAAAGCCCAAATGGCATAGATTGTATTCATTGGTTTTAACAGTGAAAGAAGAGTAGGTATCTAAACTTGCTTGAAAAGAAAAGCTTAATATTGTAGTACAAGTTGCTCTGGTTTTCTCTAAATTTTGTTAAGAGTGACCTAGCAGTTACCTTTAAGGAACAATTTGGTTATTGGGTATAAATAATTGACTTAAGTAGGATTTATCCAAATGGTGCCTTTTCAATAATGCATAACAAAGTGTGCTGTTCACATCTTTATATATCAGTTAAATGGCATGGAGGGATTCTTCCTTGGTATTCTGGCCCATTTTTGCCTCCTGCTTTTATGGCGGTGATTTTTCCTTGGAAAACAGTTTGCAAGAGGGCCTGCAACTAGGGTTGCACGCTGCTTATTGCTTCTTTCCAGCGCCTGGTAGACATTTCCTTCCGGTGTTCTGCAGGAAAAACTGATGGGGTCGTGCTGAGACGTAGCAGCTGTTTGATTTTTATTCCCACTGCCCCATGTCAAAAGTTAAATCAGTTGCATTCTGCAAAACATCTGCAGTGAAGGGAGCTCTATTAGACAAAAAAGGGTGCCTATATTCAGATCAATACTTCCTATCCAGTTCATTCTCTTATTCCCTGCAACAAGTTCAGTAAAGAATGTCTGAGACCCAGACCTGCATTAATATCTGTTTCAGATTGGACTTGTGTATAGTGTTGATTCAGTACTCATACACAAGCAACAGGGCCCCTGTTTTGTGGACCTCACTGTCCACTGAGGTGCATATGGCTTCTTATCTACACAGTTTAAAGCAAATTTAATTTGAATTGCCTTTTCTTGAATATTTCAATTACTGCGGGTCTAAAACTGAGATATTTGGAGTGTTTGGATTTTTCTACTGTATTTTCTAGGTATTTACATTTGCCTAGTCTGTATTTTAGAAATAGTATTGGTAATGATGTTCAACAACAGTCTGCCGATTTTAAACTTCATTTTTTTATTTTTATGATCCAATTGCCTTTCTAATGGCCATGCCTCAACAGTGTTGCAAATAAATAACTATATACATAGTTAAGACTTCAGATAACCATAGACCCAACAACAGGCAACGGCTTATGTAGGAGAGGCATCCCTGAGAACAAGCAATGTGTTAAATTCAGAATTTGCCGTCTGTAGGTAGAAGGGCTCAGCTTATGGGAGATCCCTTCCCAGTACAGCTTCTCATCTCATCCAGCAAGGTCTCTTAACTCTGGAATATTTTTGGGTTTCTGAAAGGACTGCGGAGGGGAGGGAGGATCGCTTCTGTCACTGTCATGCATATCTGGATCTAACCCAATGAATAAAAATGTCCTGAGTGTGAAAAACCTAAAATATTTCAACATCAAATCTATACAAAAAGAATTCAAAGGGAATGGACGAAAATATATGAAAAAATCAAATACTGAACAACGCCAAATCATCATGAGATCTCTTATTTAAAATACAAAGCAAAGTAAGTCCCTCTGAAATTGGATATATTTTAATGTATATTCACTTTTGAAACATTGTAGTGTTTTACCCTACTCTACATATTGCTTCTTATCACTACTCATCTGCATGAAATGTTGCGTTTACTCAACAAAATAAGCCAGTTAAATTTGGCTAACACAATTATTATTATTATTATTAGAACATTTCTAAAACTATCCATCCTTGTTATGGTTGCTGTGTCATGTGGAGAGCCTGCTCCATCAAGAGTGGCTTATTTTTTCACCCTAGCACTTGCAGTGGGTTGTTGTGCTGTCCAAACTCAGAGGACACAACCCACTGTGGGCAAACCCACCAGCCGGCAAGCTTGGCAAAACCCCGTTTTTGCCCTTGACAAGTGGTCACTGGGTGAGCTCCACTGACGGCAGCCACAAGGGTCCCCAGGCCGTCCTTGGGAGTTGCTGGCAAAAGCTTTCCCTTCTTCATGGTGCTATGGAACAACCATCCTTGCTGGCAGCTTGAGAGTAAACCCTCAGCCACTGCCAGGGATGTCCAGGATTTGCTTTTCCTTGGCAAAGAACTGTGGGCAAATGTGGAGCACTTCCAAAACAACCAACCCACTGTGGCTTCTTAGGTGGGTGGCTTGTCATGTGTACTTGAGCACTATCTTGCCAGTCTTCCCACTGTTTCCTGTCTATCTCGCAGGGGTTGTATTAGCGTAGGGCAGTCCTTCCTTGCCTGGCGCCTTCCAAGTACGTTAGACGATATTTGCCAGTGTTTCTGTCTTGGCCTGATGAGAGCTGAAGTCTAGAATGTCTCAAGGGTACTGGATTGTGAAGAGGAGTAGAACAACCAGAGCTGCAATCTTAAACGTTTGCAGTTTAAGTCTCATTGAGGCTGTAAATCTGAGTAAACATGCACAGGATTACATGGTAAAAGTATTGAAGAAGTGTGCTCCTCTTTAGATAAATGGTTTTAGCAAGGCTAAATCTGTAGAGTATGGCCCTGCGCTGGTTGCCAGTTAGCTACTGAGCTGTGTTCAAGGTTTATAAGGCCATAAATAGCTCAAGACCTGGCTATCTGAGACTTTCTCCCCAGTAGGTCCCCTTAGCTTGAGACACATTTGTGTCCAGGTGTTTGATGACTCCTGATCATTCCTATCTATTACTGGTTGTTTTAATTGTCTTGGTGGCATGAAGGAGACCGCAAAGAGTGGTTTATGCTGCTTTCTCTGGAAGGTAGGAATCACATTCTTCCTTTAGAGGATATAGAGTTTCTCAGCCTGTGTCTGGTTTTCTTTTTCTACTGTCTAAGGTCTTTGTTTTATTGCCTGGTTTTATAGTATTTAATCCTTTTTTAATCTTGTGAACTGCTCTAGCATTTTTATAAAAAAGAAAAAAAAAATAGAAATTATCTTGAATATCTCAATGTAGTGTACCATAAATAAATACACATTTCTTGCCACCTTCAGATGCCCTCATGAGATTATCCTACTTTATTCTTAGAAGGTTGTGGGGATTCCAAGGCTAGTGAAAGCCTACCCCCCTGAGCTTGTGTCCAAGCAGCTGATTCATCTTTGTGCTATGGAGCCAGCTCATGTGTGAGCAGAAGCCTTAGTATCTCTAGTGCTATGGCCTGATCTAGCTGCCTGCTTCAGTGGAAATGTGATGTGTACGATGTCAGAAATGATCAGTCTCTTTCCATGGGCTGAAATCCTTCTCTCAGTCTAATGTGTTGCAGGGTGGCATTCTTCATAGATTGCCTTCTTTGGCTTGGCTCAGTCCTCCTGCTCCTGCTCCAGCTTCCAACAGCCACTCCACTGGCCATTTTCTCTCTCCAGTCTGTATTATGTTATCCTAAAACAGCTTTCTGTCAGTGCAAGGTTCTGCTGAAGTCCTCGGCTACATTTTTGTAACACTTCAAATAAATCTCTCTGAGTGCAAGATCAGAGGTATGCTGTGAACTGGACAGTGAATATATTGCTTTTATTAATACATCCTCATTAGAGTGGGAATACAGCTTTGACTAAAGTATCTTATTGCCTAGTTCCTAAGTAAGAATATACTTGCTTGGACTGTGTACAATTATAGTCACCACAGCTCAAAAGGATACTGCAGAGCTAGAAAAGAGCAATTCCCCAAAGATGAAAGGTTACAGCGATTGTGTCTCTGTCACAGAAATAAATGGAAAAGCAGAGCTGTATCGAATCACCCAAGTTGTGCAGAAAGTGGATAGGAAGATGTTTTCCTCCCTTAAAGGCTTGTTTAATGAATGGTGAGTTATCCAGGATAAAAGAAAGTACTTCATGGAACCCATACTGCTTCCACAAATTCTATTAATCCTATGAAATACAATGACAACCACCAATTTGGGTGGCTTTAAAAGGGGATTAGGATAAGTCTGTCACTGTCTACTAATACCTAAGTATTGCCTCCAGTGGTGGAGACGTTATGCTTCTGAATACCAGTTGCTGGGGAACAATAAGCAGATGTTGTTTTTGTGTTTGGCTACAAAACAAAATGTGGGACTTGAGAGGTCTGGTCTGTCATGGCTTTGCTTATGTTCTTATAGATGTACTGCTTCAGGTGCAGGCATGCATATGGCTAACTGATCCTCTGTGCAAAAGGAAGCCCCTCTTCTTAGAAAACCAGCGGTTTTCATGATGGACAGTTCTTTATCCTGCCATGCTAGTTTTCTATGTTCAGGGTAGGGATTTTTTGTCTAGAGGACATTCAGTCAAGTGCTTTTTCCTTAGCCAGCCAACTGTAGTATGAAGTGGCACAACCCAGACATAGGTTTCTCGACATCCTCACAAAAAAAAAAAAAAAAAAAAAAAAACAAGCCCAGCAAAGGGGGGGGGGGGGAGCTTCCAATAGCCAAGGGAAAAGATATTCTCCCACATTTCACTGTGAAAAACACTCTCTGTGGCCCGAAAGGAAGGTTCTTTCAAGGTGCTCCAACTTCATACATTTCCTAAGAAAGGAGTCTCAAAGTTTATTTCAGAAAGCACAATTTTTAGGGCAGCATCAAAGGTGCAGGTCCTTCTGAGGCGATGGTTGGGGAATTCACATCAAAGATTGCATGCACATGTTAGTTCTCATGTCAGGGAGGACTGCTCATGGAATTCTCTGGTGAATTTGCTACAGTCCCCAGAAGAGATTAAATTATGCACAGACGCTGCCTCTATAAAAAGTAGTAGACAAAGAGAATGTCACTGTTAGGTTTCATAATCAAAGCTTGGCATCATGATTTGCTTTGAGTCCTTATGAACTGTCAGGAGAAAGTGAAGTAAGAACCAAGTGCTCAGGAAATGGGAAGACCGGGTGGTGTATTTGGTTTGAAAATGCAATCTCCCTTTTTAAAAATAAAACTTTCACCTGAATCTTCAAGTCTTTGCACAGGGCACTGAAGAGGATGTAGTTCAGTTCCTTATCATACAGCTGTTGGCCCATGTTGAAAACATACTCAAGATATGAATATGAAATACAGTTAGAAAATGCATTTTAAACTTAATTATATGTTCACAAGCAAAGCAGAATGTTGTTATTCATTTCAAGGCATATCCTGTGTAAAAAATTAGGGAATTAAGGACAAGGCAGAATAATCTGTTGTCTTTCTGTGATGAATAACAATATAGTGAAGCTGTTTTCAAAGTAATATTAATTTTCTTTATCATTTATTCACTTTTCAGTTTAGGCATCTATATCCACCTTGCAATAACTTTTTTGAAAGATGATTACCTAAATATTATATTTACATCCTGCCATTCTGGATGCAAATCTTTCTCTGGATGCTTACAAGTCACAGTGCATAACTGCAATCAAGATACAGCAGTGCAAGTACATGTGAAGCAATGTTGGCTGTTCCTGTTCAGGTCTCTCATTGATCAGCCACTTCTCCTTTCCTGCCCCTCCCCTTCGTCCACCAACTTCCCAGTGACCACAGTTGGCCCTCACTGAACTATTTCCACCACCGCCATCCCATTTAAGCTTGGGTTGGGCAATTTTGGATAGGCACCTGGGAAGTAAGTATGCTAGTAGTGGACACAATTGACTGTTGCTGCCACATAGTTCTATTCCTCCCCTTCAGTCCCCCCATGACTAATCGTTTCCATCCCTTCCCAACAAGCAGTTAGCTAGCATTCAGTTGGCACCTTTAGTCTCTTTTGGGCTGTTTGTCTTCCTATTTTTTAATACTTTTGTGGAGCTCTTCCATGCCTCTTGATAATCCCTTGTGTATTGGTAGCACAAGGGCTGGTGTTGGGAACAGAGCACCTTGAGAAAGCAGTTTGTCCAGCTCCTTCAAAGCTGGCCATACCTGTGTGTGACTCTTATGCTGAACACTGGAAATACAGGGAATTAAACTATCAGAAATCTATATGCTTTTGTTGCTTCCATGGCCAGTTTGTGGCCCAATGGAATGAAAGTTCAACAAGAGAAAGACTTCTTCCAATATAAACCAAAATGTTGCAGTATTTGTAAAATTTATAAGCTAACCCTTAAGGAAGTAAATATGGGGTGGTGCAGCAAAATGGGAAATTTTGGAACTAAGAGTTGGCATCTCCAGGGCATCGGCAATTTAGAACCAGTGCAATCTCATTTAGGATCCCTTGCTATTAGATATAATGGAGCAGTGAAGTGGAATCCCACCTACATTGTATGAAGACTATGGTAGGCAAGGAAAGCAACAGTCCTGCATCCATAAAGTTTTTAAATGCATGAAATATCAGATTTGATTTTGTTAGAAACAGTGAGCTGTTACCTATACAAATTTCTTACAGTCAACTGTGTATGTCCATAATCTTCTGCATGCTACAAAGGTAGGAATTACTCCCAAGTAAGTGTATATAGGATTGCATTTTCCTTTTAAAATATTACCCACATGTCTTTCCATTTCTGTATTCCTGATTTTTGTCTCAGATACAATGAAACATTTCGCTCTTGTTCAATGAAACTGCTAAAACTGGAGTGAAACAGTTTCAGGATTTTACAGAATGCAAGTGTGTCATTACTTCTTCCAGAAAAATCAGAAATTAGAAATCAGAAACTGATTTCAAACTCAGTGCCTTGGTTTGTGCTTTCTTGAGATTTAGTGCAGTCCACTGGTTCACTGCACATTGTGTATGTTTTCCATCACAAATGTAGAATCTTTTGTTAGAGAAAAATCCTGGCTAAACATACCTCAGATCCTTTTGCTATAGTAGATACTATCACAATGTGAATTGATTGGGGTTATACTTTTCAGACAGCTTTCTCAACTCCGTAATTCTAAAGCTCCATGCTAATATAGTACAGTGTAGTACAAAGTTCTTTCAAAGTATTATTTGACATTTTTATTTATTCCAAAGGGCGAAAGGTTTCTTCCACTTCTCTCTAGTATCATACATCTGCAACACCTTTATTTCTTCTCCTCAGGCTTACCTGTAGTTTAAAACATTCAAAGTGTGGCTTTGGTACAGAATACCTCAACAGGCTATATTAAAAATGCCCTTTAAAAATTCCAGCGCTTTGAACTAAAAGAAATATCTCAAGAAGTTTTCATGGAAAGTTCATCTCAGTTGGTTCAATTCAGCTATACTTAGATGCACCTTTTCAAATAATAGAAAAAAGTGTAAAGAGGTCAGACCCAATCAATACACTTGTTCAAACAGAATTCCAGGCACTGTGATGTATGTACATTTTGTGCTCTTCCTTTGTACTGTTCACTATGAAGAAAGGTTGCTTTTGCTAGTAGGCAATAAAAGTCTTAGCCTTTTGAATGCAGCTAACCAACCAATAGCAAGTTTTATCAGGTGAAAACATGCCACAATTTTTCCATGCCTTCTCTGCACTTTCTATAACTATGTAACACACAGTGTTAGGAAATACTTTAAAATACAGGAAGACAAGCAGAAATCAAGGGGGTTGGAGCCTCAAAAGCATGCTTTGTTGATCCCAGAAATGTGTGTCTTAGTTGCGCTCACGCTCAACTGTGCCAAAAATTTGAGACAGAAGATCTATCCCTTTCTGTGACATACATATAACACACACGGGTTTCTGGAAAAAGTCAAAGTGATGAATGTCAAGTGTGGATGAAGCTTACATGCTAGCTGCCAGTATGTCTATTTCGTTTGAGCCCTGTATGTATAGTACATTTCACTTCTTTTTCAGTACAGATGTACATGCTAGACAGAGCAGATAGCCTACCTATCATCAATGTGAGTAAAGCCACAAATTGTATAGTCCCTGGTTGTACATGGCATCTGAGTTTGCACAAGCACAAAAAGTGAGACAAGTGCACTTCATAATTGATAGAATTATTAAGCAACAATATTAACTAACAATGTTAAGTAACAGTGCACTTTAGTCTGAACTCAAGCTACTGTGACTAGATACATGGATAGAAGTACTGGTTATATATTTGGAGACTTGCCGTGGTTAATGAACAAGCTGCAGATTTAGAAATTAGGTAGCAGAGGCAGTGAACATGTACCAGAAAACTTTTGAACTGGAAACTCTTCTGGGGATGGGTTGGGGTTCAACAGCAAAAGAATCTGGAAAGCTCCTGCCTGAAACCCTTGTGAAGCATTGCTGCTGGTCAGTGGTTGACAACACTAAGCTAGACAGACCAAAGGTTTGATTTAGTGTAAGGCAACTTCCCATAGAGCCCTCCCAAAAGTGTGCGAGAAATGTTACTTAAAATGTTTGGTATGTTCTGCAGAATTCTGTGTACCAGCTCTCTTACCACAGGCTGACTTGAGCTCTTCATAACAATATCAAATAGTCATCAGAATGGCTGTGATAGTCCAGACCACCTTGAAGATGGTACGTTTGGGATTGCACTTTTTAAAAAAGCAGCTCCTTATCCCTGATGGATTGTAGCAATTGTTGGTTTGTTACAAATGCCTCATGCTTGGCAATGTACCTGAGAGGATGGTGGTTGAATATTATTGGATGAGACTGAGCGCAAACCCGGAAAAGAATGAAGAATTGGCAAACAATGGTTGAAAATCCAAAGGCAGATACAGTATTATGTTAATAGTTTAATATATACATGTACATTATCCCCAAACTGTTACATTTTATGTACATTAATGCTTTCTTGCAAAATATTTTTTCAGCATTTTAATAAAGGCAAAAAATAAAATAATTTCATTTTGGCAAAAAGTTACAGACTTGACACTGGCAGTATTCAGTTAGTTAAAAATAGATGGCATTTTCTAAATACATTTCTCAAGCATAGCTTCCAAGTATAGTCAAAATAGAGTAAGAAGTTTTATTTAATAATTTTAAATTCACTTGCAGTTACTTGTGATGAGATTCAAAAGTTAGGTGGAGACAGTATTTTTTAATTAAATAACTTACTGGAAGGATAAAAACACATAACTGAGCTTTTCCTTTTATGAAACTTCAACTGCTCTAGTAGATATCTTTAAATCCATTTGTTGACCACCCCTAAAAAAGGGATATTGGAAAGCAGGTTTGCATTAAGAGTAGATTTGTTACCACTTCAAGACATATATATCACAAAGGTGAATCACAGATGATTTTTTTTTCTTACAAAGAGAGAATTTCCATGTAAGGAAAAAAATTATACTGTCACTTGTGAAATGTGGTGCATTTTACCTCAAGAACACAGGCTGAGCAGACAAGTGGAAATGTACAAAAACTACAGTACTTCCTTAACACAGACCCACCGTTAGTCAGAGGACAAACTGAGACTGCACTATGTTTACTGTATTATGAATACTGTATTATGTACTATGTGTATTTCTGAAAAAAATAACATTCCCCACCTATTCCTGACATCTGAATTTGTTACACCTGTTCTGCCTATTCCTTTCTAGTCTGAAGCAGAATTGCATATAATTAAAGCCTCAATGCTCCCCAAAAGACAGTCCAATAAAATGATAAAATGTATGGGCTACAGCCAAGGGAGCTCCTGTCGGCCTACCTAGACAAGACTTTTGTGGTTCTAGAGGACTTTGTTCCTTTAATGGCATTCTTTCCCCAAAGGAGCATCACAAGCAGATTTTGAAATTCTTCCAAAATCTCAACATTAGCTTGTTGTGCAGTGCAGGGGACTACAGTTCAGAAACAATCCCAAAGCAACACAGGTCAAGGGTGTGCAGTTCTCCAGAGTTTGACCGTTACCTTCAGTTGTTCTGCAGCATATATTTTGGAAAGCCAACATGGCAAGGACATCTTGAATTCAGTTTTTCATACTTGGTCCTGGTTTGGATGACCTAACAGCCTACTTTGGGTTAATTTACCTTCAGGGTGCTATGGTATATGCTGGCTTAATTTAATAATATGAAGCCATAACAATGCTTACTGTGGCTTGATATATAATATAAACCTGGTTACTGGGGTTTATTTGAAGGTTAAGCAACCTTTACTGAAGCCATAGTCTGTTTTAGACTAATTGGATGGTTGTTTAACTGTTAAATAACCACCACTGCTTGGGTTCAGGCAACACAAATCAACTGGAACCCCCAACCAGGGCTTGCATATTTAAAATACTGACCAACATGTGCTGCAGCTCCTGCCAGGTAAATCAAGCCACAGTGGGCTGTTGTGCCATGCAAGCTGGCCCACTAAATCTATATAGTGCATTCCTATTCTATGCTGCAAGAGCTCATTAACATTTAATAATACCAATAATGGCCAAGATCAAAAGGAACTTCACAAGCATAAGGCCTTCCCCAATCTTTTCAGTGAGAAGGCAAAATTCTGTATCTCTCATTGTCCATATCAAACATTCTATTCTTAAAGGAGGGATTGGGAAGTTCCTGTACTTGTAGGCTTTTGTATAATAGCTCCAAATGGTAGGAACTAACTGCCTATTTACATGTTACATTTCCCACAACCCGGACGCACAACAGCCTTTACATGTAAAGCGTTCAGACCTCGGACAGCTTACCACGTGGATATCTGCCATTAGTTCATATTGCCGCTGGCTATTCCTAGTGGCAGCTGGGGATGGCATGGAGGTTATCCTCACATGGCAAAGCTATTTAAAGTGGCCTCTGTGTGCACAGTGTAAAGCATAGACAGGTCCTAAGGCAACAGTTTATACCAGCCTTCCACATCTTAAGTGTCCTTCAGGTAATGTGAACTACAAACCCCATCATGCCTTACTATTGGCCATGCTGACTGGTCTTGACAAGGGTTGTAGTCCAAAACATCTAGAGGGCATCAGAGTGGGAAAATCTGGCTTATACCATCAGTTTGACCAGAATAGTCTAAATAGTCCCACATCCCATCATATTTTCTATATAAAAGGAGTGTACAACAGTGGAATGCGGCAATAAATTTCACACTGTATTGCAAGTATGTCTGAATTCATTTTTGAATCCACCAAGCAAAACATTGGATATCAGCAAGCCACACACTTTAGTATTCACACATATTTTCAAGTTAAAAATCATCAGCGATTCATCAGTTGTTTCTTTTCATTAGCCAGTCCTTTGCCCAAGACTCAAGAAATGATACCATGCTTGAATTCATATTACACTCAGGGCACTAGCTGAATTAATATACTAAATTATAAATACCTGACAGTAAATAATGTTTGCTTTGCTGCAGCTGAAAACACTGATTATAAAGAATATAGATAAAATTCACTAGTAAAATGATACAATTGATTAACAGTTGTATTGCTCATTGCATATGGTTCAATTTAAAAGGGATGATCTACCTTGTGTAAAGTACCTACATGGAGCGGATTCAACTGAGATCAATGTCCTTTCTCTTTCTCCTCTTCAGTGTGCACATTGGTCATGAAGCGGTCCAAGAGGCCATTTCAGGGAGAAGGAGATCTTGTGCATACCTCCTGCCCTGCCTGCTCTGCATGATACGTGCTAGTCAAACTTAGGGCTTGCATAACTCAGAGGCAGGAGGGAAGGAAAGGTGGAGAGAAGAGAGATGTGCCACACTTCTCAATCCACAGAATGGCCTGCTGTTTCCATGTGCTATGTTGGTGCTCTGATGTGGAATATGGAAAAAGAGAAAGAATCAAGGTTTTATTTGCCTCCGTGGAAATGCTTTGTGATACATGGGCTCTATATCTGTGATGGGATAGGGACTGGATTGTTCCATAAGCATTTCATTGAGCAGACCCTAAGTTTAATTTTTTTAAAAGAAATAACTGTACAGTTCTTAAGTTATGTATTAACAGGATAGGGGCTTACAGCTATTGCCAATGCTAGAAAATTATAAAAATGATTAAAAGTGGTGCATCCTTTGAAAGTTTTGTATTTGCTTTCGGTGTTTGCATGAGATTCCAGAATCTCTGAAATTTTGACTACTTTAATAAAATACCACCTGATTGTGTTAATCAGTGGTCACAAAGGCATCATCAATTCTGAAAAAATAGAAATTTACTCCTGCCTAAATGCTACAGTGTGCTTCCAAAAGATGTTTGTTTTTAAAAACAAAGGCAGCCCCCTGTCCTTATAGGATATATCTGGTCTTTTAAATGACACAGCCCTTATTTTGTGTTGTTTTTTAAAAAAGAAATCTAATATACATTCTGTTGCTAAAAATACCCACTGGCTTTCAATCCAGCACATTACACCCTTAAAACTTATTAATATCAACACGGCTTAAATGCATTTGACTGTGTGGTAGATTGTGGCCAATGCCAGTATTTACATAGTATATTCAAAGTGCTGTTTGTATAAAAAAGACAGACAGGTAAATGACATTGTTCTCTATTTTTGTAAAGAAACTGTCTATGAAGTTATTTCATTTGCAACTGTAAAGTGTGTTCAGATAAGAATTAAGCCCAAACGACGGATAACACAGCGAACTGTCTTCCTCCTTGCTTCAATTTGCTCATCAGATGCTTGTTACTTGTGTATATCAGGTATCAGTGTTCAGTTACTGCTTTGGCTAATATAAAGAAAAATATAATGTAGTTAGATATTGTTTAGACATTGTTAATATACGCATTCAAGATGGCATGAACTGTTCAATTGCTTTTAAGAGGATAATAATGCAGGAGATTGGAAACTGCTGGTGGAAGGGGCTTTCACATCCTCTCCGTTCCTTAGCACCCCCATGCACCATCCACATCTGTTCCAGATGGTCCCCTAAACTACCAGCAGTGCCCTTCCCTTCCATGGGTAGAATGAAGGATCTGGATCTCACCCAGGGCAAGAACATATTTAAAAGTGCTTGACTCACAATCCTTAGGTAAAGTATCTTTTATAGGCCTTATAATATGCCTTGAAATTACCTTTTCCTTCAACTCTTTTTGGAAAACACATTAGAAATTCAGAGAGGCTGCATACTAGCATTTTTAACGGAGAAAAAAAAATCATTATGGGGATTTTTATCTTGGAGTTAATAATACTCCTTTCTGGACTAGCTGGAGACATAAGGAAGTGCTGCAAAGGTGAGGACACTGAGGCCCATCATTTCAGCATTTAAAAGCAAAACATTATACTGCCAAGGTGTGCTTACTCTGTGTGCCCTTTTCCTCCATTTTGATGCTTCTGACCCTTCTGCCTCTTCCTATTTTTCTCCCCGAGTCATTCCCAAGTGTGCTCAAATTAGCTTACATGCAACTTTGTCTTGCCAGTTCCCTTCTATCTTACCCAGCCCATTTCTCTGCCCCTTTTGACAGCTGAAACATGTAAGGATATTTACCGCACAATAATGCATGTATCAGTAGGTGGAAATGCACTATTGCAAAAGAATGGCAAAAAAGAATTTTAAAAAATTGCAGGTTTGTGTGTACTCCTAAAGCACTAAAAATAACACAAAAGGTGGCAAATGTGATGGTCCCTCAGAAGCGCTGTTTGGGAATCATGGAGGGGCAGTCACTGGCAAGGGAGAATGAAGACACTGGCAAGATCAGGAAGACTGACATCAGCTTTTTGGCAGTGTTGGTAACTTTGTAAGATCCCAACAATGTATAATAAAATACAGGAAGACAAGCAGAAATAAAGGGGGTTGGAGCTTCAAAAGCATGCTTTCTTGATCTCAGAAATATGTGCCTTAGGGCCATGAAGACAGGACAACCCACCACAGGTATGAACAATAAACCATGGATTCTCAGGGAAGCACTTTTGCAAAAATTAAGCCACCCTGCAGAGAATGTGGCAGATTTGGGCAACCTGACCACCAACCATGGCTGGCTGCCCATAGGAGGTTGTCCTCTCATGAGAACCCCCTTGTAGTGACTTTTCCTACACGAAATAATCAGGCAATTCCAATTCTACAGTGAGGCTTCTGGACAGAGTTCTCTGTATCTGAGAGCAAAGAAAAAGGATATTATTAAAGAAATCAAAAATTGTTATAGCTAATTTTCAATCATACTGAATAATAATTATGCCATTAGAATCCCTAGTTTATGTTCAGAAGAGGCTTTTCTTTGGGTTCTTTTGCAAGGGAACTCACTGGATAGAAACTAGGTCGCAGGCCTTCTCTGCTGGCAGCATCTGCAGAAAGTCTTCCAAACTGAAGCTCAACCGATGCCAAGGCTGCTAAGCCTTTTGGTGCCAGGTTAAAACATACCTATTTGCCTGGGCATTTTTAATGCATTGTACTGGTCACCTTACCTGCAAGCTTACCTTGCAGTTTTATGTTTTTGTTTTTCTTATGAGGTTGTTTTATGATTTTAATGCATTATACTGTGATATGTTTTGATTTTTATGCTTCTTTTATACATGAACAATGGGTTAAATAAATAACATTGAAATTATTTTTAAAAATCAGGCATCAAACAAAGGGGCAATGTCTTAGCCTATCAAATTCTCATGTTGGATAGAGTAATCTAAGGAAAATGTCACAGTGATGGGGAGATAAATCCTATGGCCTCTAGACAGTGTCTAGACAACCAAAGAATTGTTCAAATTACCAGGTTCAAGGCTGCAAAACAGCTCTAACCGTGGATTCACCCACTTCCTATGCTGTCCCAGCTAGCATGGAAAAAGGCGTGTCACCTGCTCATCTGGGACTGTAAGAACAACTTCAGGTAGAAGGAAGAGGAGACGGGCTCCCGAGGCATGACACCGTGGCCTTCCTCCTCCTCTGAAGTAGTGGATGGCCTGAACTGGCTTTCTAGCTCCTTGGTAAAAAGCCTGCTTCCATGTCCTCACAGGCTGCCTGTGAGCCTCTTTTCAGAGGGCTACAGGAATCCCTTTGGCAGCACATCCTTACTGTATTGACTATTTATGATTGCCATCTCAAAGGCAGGCCTATTTTATTTTGTAGAAACTGTTTAAAAAGTAACTATTTGGAGAACAGGGATGGTGATTTAGTGGCCATGTGCTACGTTTGAGTGCGATTGTATTTTTAGCCAATCTGTTAAGGCTGATAACAACAAGCATCAAAATCAAAACCAAAGTACTTCTGGCGTAAGGTGTCTAGATTTACTTTTCATTCTTATTAACATGCAGAAGTTAGACATTCACAATTAGACCCCAGCAAAGAAAACACCCATTAAAATTATAAGCTGTGATCTTGTAGGTGGAATCAAAGAGCAGGCATATGTTAAGGCCTAGGTGTACCACAGCAGAGAAGAGCAAAGGCAGAAAGTGCAGCAGTTTTCCCGCTCATTGAATAATTATGACTGCCATAACTGTGGCAGAAAAACATTGTTCAATTTATGACAAACACTGCCCATATGGAAATTTTTTGATAGTAGTAGGATCAAAGAATCAATAAAAATACAGCCAATTTTTAATCGGCTCACACCAAAAGCCATAATTTTGTAAAGAAATACTGAGTTTTTTGTATCTCTGCTCTGGCCCTGTAGTATGTAGCCCAATGGTAGTATGCATTGGGCTATGCTTTAAATAGTTCAATTTTTTCCGTTTACATAAGAAGGGATCATCTGTGTCATTTGGTGCATTACACTCTACATTGTTCTGAGTAGGCTACTGATAAAGAGCCATCTCTAAACGTTAAACTTTCACTATCACAGTAACTGGACAATATAAAATAGCCTGCCACAAACACTCAGCAACTGCTGGACATTTCCACAAGTTCTCATAAGCATTTTATTTTTCTTTCTTGTAGAAGATAAGAATTTTTTAGATCACTAAAGTTTGCATGCACTAATGAGGAATAAATTCACACACATATATAGTCAGCTTCCCACAATATTAACACATACAATTAAGAGCAAAATAGGCAGCCAAGAGCAGTTAGTTCTTACTTTCAAGGTGTTTAGACAAATGTGTAGTGAATTCCATTGCTTAAGGGGAGTGGCTGAGGTACAGAAGGTGAGGGTGCTTTAGATGAATAGGTCAATTGCGGAGCTAGAAGGGATCACACAAAGGAATTAGGCACCATGATCTCTCTCTCTCTCTCTCTCCCCGTCACACATAGACATAAAGATACATGGATGGTCTTGGCTAAATGTCCAGTCCCTGGTGAACCTAACTATTTTTAGTACTGTATGCCTTTGCGCACTATACAAATTCTGTGCTAGTGTCAGTCAAATGTTGTCCACGGAAAGCTAGGTCTGACAATAACCTTAGAAAGCCCACAAGAGTTGTTAAGGCACACAGCACATTCCACTATTGGGTTCCTTTGCCTGGCTCCATTCATTTGAAGCAAAAGCATATACACAAAAGCATTACTAAGAAAAAGCCTCACTTTCATCTCCTGCCATGACAACTCTGCAACGTTCTTTCCTGAATGGGGCATCAAAGTCTGAACCTGAATATCTTCCTGAAGTGCTTCTCTTCTTTTATTAAATGACTTTTATTATGATAAAGTAGTAGAAACTGGTCAGTTGGTCAGTATGTACTGTTATTACTAAATTAAAACTAGACATCATATCTTTGTGAGTGAGATTTTGTGCTGAGATTCAACACTGTTGCTATCTCTTTTCAGGAAGCAAAATATGCAGTCTCTTTCTAATGAGCTTTCCCATGTTCATTATCAGGAGAAAGCCTGCACAGTGGTGGCCCCTCACTCCTGTTATCAGTTTTCACTGCACTGGGGTGCCATGCATCAGCCTGCTTCTTTTCAGGCTCTGAACACATGTTTGTTTTTACTGGCCTTTTCGTAAGTTCCTGTACTGCTAGTTCTAGGTAACTTCTGGCATTATTCATTTATTTTAAAACAGCAACACTATTTCTTTTGAACTTTTAATGAATGTGCAATGATTTCATTTTATTGTATTTATTTTGCCTAAAAATAAATGTAAAGAAATATATTCTAGTTGGTAGGCAACACTAGCCCTGCTATATGAACTGAAAACACTGTGCTTTATTAGTAATGCACCAAAGCATTTAGGTATAAAGGAGGTATATTTTAGCATTATCATCATCTGTTGTTTCTGAATCATACTGGCAGTCTCACATAGAATGTGCAAATATGAAAGTTTTGATTGCACCACATTAAGCTCCAGGGAGAAAATCACCACTAAAAATTCAAGACTGATTTGCAAAGTCAAAGCCATTTTAGATCTTGGGATAGCACTTCAAAACATTCAAGTTTATTTTTATGAGTTTTCCAGATTTTTGTCTTAACATCCTGCATATGCAAACAGAAAAAAAACAGATGGGAAGATGTAGAACAACAGATGATGGCAACACAGAGATTTGCAGGGAATGGGAAACACAAATGGAATTCAACTGCTCAAGTAACAAGCTGCCCACCACAATCTGAAGATTTTGGAGGCTGCACCATTGCATGTATGTATAGAGAGAGTGCCACTGTACAAACCCAACAACTGCCTTCAGCTTAGCAGTATACCTCGTGACTTTGATATATTGCTGATCTTCCCCTTTCTTATCCATATTGCTATAGTAAATTTCTGATCGATTGCAAACTGTGGCCCTGAATACCTTAATATTCACATGTTCATCCTACATTTTAGACACATTGCTCATTAAAACTTTATATGATGGGAACAATCCCAGGCCCCTGCTTTAGCTGTACCAGCAATTCCTCCATGGCATGTGATAATCCTTCCCCCACTCATGGAGCTTTCCTAGGTGAGGCTATTAATAGCTCTGGTTTTGGTTTTGTTAGATAGAGACCCCCAGTCCTATAAAAAGAGCTCTTCCTTTACTGCTTTTCCACTACATGACCTCTAGTTGGATCTGTGCTATACTGGAATACCACTAATGCACTAGCAGAAAGACTGACATTTATTTCCTCACTGGGATTTAATACTTCACTTCCCCATTCTAATGAAGTACTGAAGTACTGGGAAAGTACCATGAAAAACTGGAGGATCATGTCTTCTAAAGAGCCCATAAAGAAAAATGAAAAGCCCATGTGATGCTCCAGCTGGTGATGGCATTACCCCCAACACTGATTGCATTTTATGGAGGTGAGCGCATGCTGCAAATCCAGTGATTTGTATTGACAATGGAATGCATTCAAATAGAAATAGCTTCTATACTCTTATGGTTCCTATGCTGCGGTGGTATGCATAGCACTCTGGAAGGAATACAGAAGCTTAACGGCCTGCAGAAATTGGATTAAGAGAACATATTGTCACAACTATTGCTTTATAAATAACTGAACAATACCTGCCACCTCCTTGCTCCGCTGAGAGGCTTCAGAAGCCAATGCGTATGATATGGTAATGATGCGTTCTTGCTCCTGTAACTGTGAATCTAAATCAGCAGAGCTGTTTTTGTCCTGAGCTGGAGTCTGTAGATTGTGCATACTAGAGCAAAAATGACAACACCAACAGCGACATTAACACACACAAAGGCATCTTCTTCACTGATATTTTTTATCGTTGAGAATGGAAAAGACTTAAGGATCATGCTGCAATTATGAAGCTGGGAATTAAACAGTAAGCCTTTTGATTATGTTTAAACTTTCATTGGGGGCTTAACTCCAAGATGATAAAAAATACCATTAGGGCTAGGAAAGAACCATGATCTCCAATATTTTGCTAGAAGAACAAGCATCTGGCTAGCAATAGTTGTGGTAACAAATATTAGCTGAAACAGTTTCACTTCTATATTTAGTAGTCTGGCTAACCCTGAATTAATATTTATTTATTTCTAAGACTCATTTATTTCTAAACTGATTTTGCAATTCACTGATAAAGGGTTTTTTTAAAACAGAAAACAAGAAAATATAGCAATTCAAAAGAAAAGAAAAGAAAAGAAAAGAAAAGAAAAGAAAAGAAAAGAAAAGAAAAGAAAAGAGATAAGATGGATACAATTCACTGAAACAGGAACTTCTAAACTCAAAGAGCAGCATCAGTCACTAAAAGCACAGTCACTACAGCTTTTACTAGCTGTCTAAAGAACAACAGGAAGGCAGTCAAGCTGCCTTTCTTGGGAAGCTAGACAGCCTCCAGAAGCTGGAAGCACAGGCAGCACCTCAAACATGCAGCTGAGGCACTTTAAAAGGACAGCTCAAAGCTGTTAAACTGGGGATCAGGAAAACTGGCCTGAAAGCTGACTTTCTTGAAAATGGGGTTTTATCACAAAAAGTCACAGTGAGCCCAGAAGGGTTCATGACAGTGGCAGAAAGTGCCAGTACTGGTTTCTCCAAAGTGCAGCCTGTGTGTTGGGTACTTTGGGGCAGGTGGCACTAGCCCTGTCCCTGGGCTTACTATGGGGCCTGGATGCTGACCTTGGATGGCATGACAAGTCAGTGTGCATGGAACAACTCCCAGAGAAGCTATGGGTGGTCGGGTGAACTTTCTGCTCATGCACAAGCCACACTGGGGAAATCAGTTGAGATTCACACAACATGACAACATTGTGAGTAGTGAGCTACCCTGCTATTCTGTGCAAATCCAGCAGTTTTTAAGAACTTATGAGATACATGCTGAATTTTGAAATGTTGTCCCTCACCTTCACACTACTATCTCTTTGCACAATTGGTGCTGTTTGTCTGTTATACCATGGATGATGAAATGTTAGTCTTACTTTGCTCAGGTTCTCAAAGTTTTGTTTTTCAACATTCATCACTCATTTTATTTCCTAAAGTATAAAATCCTTTAAGAAAAAGAAAACTTACAAGGCTATTGGTTGTCCTAAGGAAGAGCTTTCCAACCTGTTTGGATCTGTGGGTACATTTAGGAATTTGAAAGAACTGCAATACAAAAATGGTACCATGGAGGATGTGGCTAATCACATAATGCTGCCAAAGGGTCCTCACAAGTCCAAAGAGGTGGTAGAAGAGCAAGGGGCTTTGAAGAGAAAGAAGAATGCTATGGGAGGGAGGAGAGAGCGATGGCAAGCCTGTGTATAATTCCTAGAAAGTTCTATTTCCACATAGCCTCTATGTTATATAGAGATCCATGAGTATATATTAAAAATGGGGATTTATTTTTTTTTAAGAAAAAGCTTTGTCCTCAGACACAGCGTTGAAGCCTCCTTTGTAAGATCCATTAGTTGGTCTCACAAATGCCATGATGCCAATGTAAGAAGGCATCAATATCATACCATTCCAAGGAACCCATTTCTCCCAACAGTTGAGCTTATGCTTCACTTTTTCTCAAAAATAAGTTGAAAGGCTTTTGAAAAGCTACCTTCTATCTATAAAGTTGCTTTCAATATCTAGATTTAAGGTTGGCAAGGGGAAGCTGGGGTCCCAACTGGAAGTGGCACAACTGAACATCCCCAGCCTTCTTCCTTTCCTGCCCCCACCACCTCCTGAGACCCCACCCAAGACCCAGGTACAAACTTGAGGTTAAGCAGTTGGAGCAGCTCTTTTCACACTGGCTGTGAAGCGGCACCGTGGAGTCCAAATGTAGGACCTTAGTAGCTGAATTCCAACAATGCCTATGTTCTCCCAGAATGGGAGATCCTAGGACTGTACCCTTAAAGTTCCACAGGTGCTACTCTTCCTCTCTCAATGGGGCAGAAGAGCCCTGTACATTAAAATGCTATGCCACTTTCTATCAGTTGAAGAGAAAAGGCACAACTACACATTTCTGCTCACTAGTTACATAAAATATTTGGCTTTAGCTGGAGAAGCACTGGCATCACTGCAGCTAATGTGAATCTATGGGTTTCTCCTCTAAACAAAACTCTTTTCAGCTAGAACCAGCATGGGTCAAAAATATAAGTCTAATCTTCTCTGTACATTACAGGGAAAATATATAATTAGCGTTCAGGGCATTTACTACTATGAAATATTTATACATATATAAATGCTATGGCAAAATGCAAATAATTACTTTTTAGTCTACAGTGACTCTGCAGCATGGTCTTTTCTCCTCCGCAAAGGTTAAAAAATAAACCAAGAGTAACAAATATATAGGAATCTGACCTTGACCTGGTAAGAATATTCTTTATTTTTTCTGCCTTACGGTGCCTTTCTGCTAATTCTTCTTGAGTGAGAGGTTCTTCAGGTTCCAGTTCAACATAACGTTCAGGAATTGCAACCTTTTCAGGTTTTGACAACTGTTGAAGATATTATAAATGGTGAACGTAGGATATACATTAACAACTATTCAAATCTAGTGAAAGAGGAAAAAGAAGGGCAAAACAAGTCATTTCTTCACGTATTGCAAGTCTTATATGGGATATATTAAAATATAATTATGGTCAAAACTTCTGAAAGCTTTTCAGCTGTTTCAGAAAACAGTGTTTTGATAAAGAAAGATAAATGTAGTACTGATGATATAAACTTCAGAAAAGACAAGCACTGTGTTAGAAACACTGAATTTAGAACAAACACTAACTGGCTTTACCTATTCAATGGCTATCACCACACTGTATGCATTATACAATGAAATGAATGTATTTGAAAACAATACAATTTAATATATCATTCCTCTCCAAATATAGAATACAGGTGATTCTTTATTCCCTCATTTTACCTAAACAACTGCATGAAACTAGGGGGACTGATGCTGAGGCACTACTTTAATCCTTTTACTTGCAATTAAGGAAGGGAAGCTTGGGTGAAAAGATGGCTTTAGTGACCAAGGGAGATAGCTGAATGTGTTTGGAAAGGCAACAGGCTGTTAGAAAGCAGTATGAAGTGCTTTTCTTCCATCCCTAGATATCAAGGAAAGTTTCTCTTATAACAGATCTTCAGTGTTTAAACCTCAGAGTTGAATGCAATCTCAGTGCTTACATAAAACAAAATTATCTTGATCTCTTAATCCTTGTGTTGGCATTTGTATAGTTATTTTTAAAAATCTGCACTTGCATTTAGCAGATTTTCCCTCCAGTTCATTCACCTTTCAATGAAGAAAGTACAACATGCTTCCACTGGGCCACCAGATGGCTCCACAGCTTTTGCAATACATATTTAGAAGTCTACCATCCCTTGACTTGCCATGTACCTTTTGCAATAAGTATTATTTTTCTTGGAGAACACAGTCAGATGTTGATCATGCATATATTTTCATATGAGTTGTGGACAGAACCATTATACCTGTTTATTACCTGTTTTTAATTATGTTAAGTACAGAGCTTGGATTAGCATTTTAGTAATGTCACTTCAATCAGTGCAGGGGTACATATGTTTTCTTATCTCCTTTTCTCAAAAGCACAGAGATGGATCCAGTATACACACATAAAAGTGGGCTGGTGGAAGCAGATGCCCCCTTTCTTCCCTACAGCAGCCCCTCCAACCCACACCCCCTCCTTGTGGTAAAGAGGGTCAGGGGACACTATAGAGAGGGCTGCCTGCACTGCAAGAGGAACAGGGGACTCCTCTCAAAATAAGACCAAAGAAATTTCTGTTAACCAAGTTCCACTCACACAAGGTACCTCTATTCAGCTTTGTGGGATCCTCTGACCCTCTTACCAGCATTTTAGAAAAGCTGGAAGAGAAGATAGGGAAGGGAGAGGAGAAATGGCCAGGGAAGTCTGCTTCCAGCAGCACAATTAGACAAGCCTACATCTGAATCTTATTCATAATATTTATAAATTGCAAAGTTGAATAGTCAAGTTATCTTTCTAATAATTCTGATTCCACTGTGCGTACACCAAACAGGAATTTTTTCTCCTCTGACAACCTTTTTCTAAAGAGTGTCTATTTTGGTAGAATTGTTGCTTCTTTCTATCACAGAAAACTAACAGGAAAAAAACCTCTAACTGGTTATAATTTTTTAAAAGGCAATAAAGGATTTTACACAATAAGGAAACTGGCGACATACCTCTTTGCTAATATCAAAATTATATTCTTGAGGTTCTAGATCTGCTTCTGTCACTGATACAGGCTCGGCTTTAAACCAGTTATTTTCCTTTTGTTGGTCAGTGCGTGCTGCTCTTTCCAGTAGCTGCAAGTCAAATTCTTGCTCCCGCTTCCACTGGTAACAGACAGGAAACAATTAGAGATTTGACCATTTCAACTGATAAATCATGCAGAAATGTTCATTTATTTCAAATTTTGGGATGGATGAAAGGGGAAACTAGGCCTAGCACTTACCATAAAATTGCTTCTGAATGTTCACTTGATGGCTTTCTTCATGAGATACTCATTCTCTACAGCCAGCAGAGGGCAATCTAATCTCAGCAAAAAGTATTCAAGTAGCCCAGAGTCAGTCTCTGATCTAGCTTGCCAGGAACCTCACAGATGACAGATTCTGAACCTCACAGATGCTCTAGTGACCATTACCAGAAACAGTTCCTGAATCTTAAGTAAAAATGACCGCTTTGCAAGAGCAACTACAGTCAACGATGCTATCAGTAGAAATTAATATAAGAACAGACCTGATCCCTAAGAACTGCTAGGAAAGTTCAGTGCATCCAAACTTTCCATTATACCATCTCTATCAAATGAGGAATGATAAAACAGTAAAAGTGCAAATAAATGCTGTGGAACATCCTTTCTTGTTTGCCTGTTTATTTTAAATAAAAGGCAGACTTAAATGAGTAAGTATTCAATAGGGATGATATACGTATAAGGACTCTAATGTCTGCAAGGGACTGGAGCAGACAACTACATACTTCCTCTTGAGGATGGATTTGGTAGTTTATGTAACAGTATTTCAGATGATATCTCGTCATTTGCTAAGCATTCAGATATGCATCTCTGTGCATGGTAAGACTAAAAGTCATCTTCAAATGCAAACAGAAAACAACATGACTACAGATAAGGACAGGGAGACTAGTCTCATTCTGACTGAGCTAAGGCAACCCAGTGACTGATATTCAATGGTGGAGTGTGGGTTGTGCTGTTGAACCGTTAGGTGTTACTGAAATGTGGGTTGTTGTGTTGTCTGAATTCAGCTCTCACACTGGTTTGTTAACTTTGAACCATATACATTTCACAACCCAACAAAAAACAATAGATTCTCTTCATGGGTTACTAATGGTTAACAAACCATGTTTTGTTAAGGTGGTTGAGTTCAGACAACATGATCACCCATTTTTCCTCAACTCAGACTCAGTGACAATTCATGCTTAACATATGTTCAGCCTTGAATTTGTGTTATCCTATTGTCTGAATCCAGTCTCTGTTTAAACCTTGAAAAAAAGCAGGGCAAACAAAGGACTACATGCATGAAATACAAAAAGGAAGGCAAGTCTTCTTTGGAATAAATAAGAGGCTAGATTTTTTGCTAGAAGGAAAACAATCTGAGATAGATCCTTCTGACAGAGGGTAGAGGAATGAAGAGGCTCCTGAAAGGAAGATCCCTAACTCCTCAGTTCTAAATTCACTTACTTGAAAATATATCCTGTTTAAATCAATATGGTCTATTTAACATAGAAGTATTTAGACTGGGAAACAAGTTTTCTTTCTTTTTATTTCTTTTAACTATTTAGGTATTGAGGAATACCTAAATAGCTGCTGGCTTAAAAGACTGAGTATCTCATGCAGGTCCACCAGACAGGGAAAATGATCTGTTACACTTTAAAAATAACTTGCATGAATTATGTAATAAAGCCACACCTTGTGCATTTAGTTTGTAGAGATGTTCTATAAATCACATGATCTAGAACACTGTCTACTAAAATGAGTATTTTACATAATATTCCTTAATGTTTTCAAGCACACTAAACTTGTTTACAAACACTTTACATTTTAACTATATGTGAAAATGAGATCACAGAGCACTATGTATTCTGCTCAACTGGCAGATTTGGGCATATTATATACAGCAGACTTCAAATGCGTTGTATCTTTGCTTTTCTTAGTTCAAAAAAAATTTAAACCTACTATTTATTTCCACAAAGTTATTTATCTTAAGAATAATTTAAATTGGGTGTAAAACCATAATCATAGTAAGATTATGTTCTTCCCAAAACAATCAGGGCTCTGTACATGGAAAAGTTTTAACTAACAACTTTTTGGAATAGAAATTTGCAAAAGTAATACATGAATTTCCTTCTCAGCTGAATATTTGCTTTTAATCCCCAGGCTATGATCCAGAGAACCATCTGCCAGCTGGGGTTTTGGACCTGTGTTGCTCAAACAGTCCTTCCATAATGCTACATGGAAAATAGCTTTTGACATGGGAACACTTCAAAAGCAGATGTGATAAGGGAAGGGGACCTGCCATTCCAAGAAAAAAAATAAAGTGAAGTATTGTTTAATGTGTCCGGGTCTTTATGAAAATCCTTAGTAGCTCTCCAGATCACAGTCTGTAAGACTCCAAAAATAAATGGGTAATTTATATTTTCATCCAATACTGCAAGTATTTATAAGTTCACACAATGACATTTCATCTACTGAAGCACAAGGATGATGCAAAGAATATGTAGCACTGACTATTGAGAAGATCAACTAACTTTCCCCTGGTATTCTTACAGATGTAAATCTCCACTCAAAGAGTTAACTTCACAGAGGCAAAATATGCTATTACATGTGCAGAAGGCACATTGCTTTTCAACCTTCTGACTCAAGTTATGGTTGGATCCAATCCTGATGAGCAGAATTCTACTTGAGGAAGAAGGGGGAGGTGCTTTTAACGATTTGCTTCCTCTCTCTGTAGTCAGCTGTAAAACTATTTGGGAAGCATGTGGGATGCTCTAGAACAACCTGGGAAATTGTTCTAGGGCCAGGGAGGCTGTACAGGGAAGTAGCAAAAATTTCATTCCCCCATTTCCTCCAGGAGGAGCCTTTGCTGGATCACAGTTTCTTCCATTAGCTGGTTACAGAAGGGACACTTCAGATTCAACCCATGGTGTTTTTTCAGGAAAATACTATTCATGCACAAGCTCTTGTTTTTCACTCAGATGTATCAAATATTTGTATTTATTAGGAATATGAACAATGTTGCTTCATTTAAAGGCAGCTGCCACTCAAATAACAATTGGGAAACTCTAAAAATGTTTTAGTGAGGAAAAGCCCTATATTCATCACAATTAAAGTGTACCATAACCAGAGATCTACTCAATATTCAAACCAGGCCTGATTGCAAGAATATGAACCATGTGAATATAATATTAATTCTAAATTAATTTTATGTTGTAAGAAAAACATAAATTCAGTATTAGGAAGCATGTTTATTGGTGCTGATACGGAATCTTTTACATCAAAATTAAATGACAAATCCATGTATTCTGATCAACATTTCAATGTCATACTACATTTAAAAAGTGATCTTTTAAAAAAATATCAGTGCATTGTATTAAAAGTAGATTTACACATACAATGTATGCAATGTTATAAACTGTGCACACTAATTACATATTTCAATGTTTACCATTTTGGCTGCTACATTATTGTCGTGCTGTAAATTGTGCTATCAAACATTACTTTTTGTGCACTGGAGCCCTTTGGACACATGAAGAAGAGATCTCCAGGTAACATTTTCTTCTGGGCTATACTGTGCCAAGTTTTGTATGTTACAGCAAGAACACAGACCAATATGGCATGCAAATATGTAAAGTTATTTGCTTAAATTGTTAAAAAGTTATGAAATGTTTGCATTAGAAATAAGTATGTGTGCATACATTTTTAAAAAATAAGGTTTAAAATCTGCTACTTAAAAACATGAATATGGCAGGCTTTTACTTTTTCTAAAAGTTTTATACTATTTCTTAATAAAAATGAGACTGCAAATGTATAAATCTGAACATAGCAGGTTCCTTAAGAGCTCACACGTGCACTTAGTAAATTAACAGCTGAAAAGTGAATTGCAAATTAGGGCAACTAAACAACTATGGGAACAAAAAGGTTAAAGGGCAAATCTGTCCTCCAACAAAAGGAAAATATCCAGTGAAAATTTAACAGAATGCTATTAAAATGCAATTAAGCCTGGCAGGAACTGAGTAGTCTAGTTAGAAATTATTTAAAATAATTAGAAAGTTTAAAACAAACAAAAAAGCCATGATGAGTGACAACTCTAAAAGCAAGAGGCCTTGTGCAATGAATTAGGCAGGTGATGAGCATTCTATAGTTCTAATGTATAAAAAGGAGCAGACAAAAACAGAAAAATAATGTTGCAGTGATTGTGCAAATCCCTCTGCATTATAACCACATGAATACACAGCAAAGTGTCCCGGGGCACCTGGAAGACTAACAAATATATTGTGTTATAAGCTTTCATGGTTCAGAGCTTGCCCTAAGAACAGAAGGAAAGAATAAAGTACTGTTTATTTCTTTTTACAAGGCAAGGCCAAAAGGAGTGCCACCTGTGTATCACAGTGTTATGGAAAGCACAAGAGAATACATAAACCACTCAAATGAATAGAAGATCAAATTAGCATGGACACAGAGCTGGGATTGAAATTTATTCCACACTGTTGAGGTGGCTTGTTGTTGGCTGAGGATGAAGACAACATGGCTGCAAGCAAGAACAGGCCTGCAAAAGGGAAGAATTATTTTAGAGGGCTTTATCTAATGTGATAAGTTGTCAGTGAATTTTTGGCAGA